TGGGGTCAAGGGGTCAAAGGTCAAGGTCACATTGACCTTGTAGGTAAAAACGGTTTCCGATCAATACCTAAAGAACCTTAAGGCTTAGGAACATTAAACTTGGTATGGTGATTGGTCATGATCAGTAGATGACCCCTATTGATTTTGGGGTCAATGGGTCAAAGGTCAAGGTCACATTGACCTTGAAGGTAAAAATGGTTTCCGATCAATAACTAAAGAACCTTAAGGCCTAGGAACTTCAAACTTGGTATGGTGATTGGTCATGATCAGTAGATGACCCGTATAGATTTTGGGGTCAAGGGGTCAAAGGTCAAGGTCACATTGACCTTTTAATTAAAAACGGTTTCTGATCAATAACAAAAGAACCCTTAGGCCTAGGAACTTCAAACTTGGTATGGTGATTGGTTATGACCAATCAGATGACCCCTATTGATTTTGGCGTTAAGGGGTCAAAGGTCAAGGTCACATTGACCTTGTAGGTAAAAACGGTTTCCGATCAATAATGAAAGAACCCTTAGGCCTAGGGACTTCAAACTTGAGATGGTGATTGGTCATGATCAGTAGATGACCCCTATTGATTTTGGGATCTAGGGGTCAAAGGTCAAGGTCACATTGACCTTGTAGGTAAAAATGCTTTCGGATCAATAACTTAAGAACCCTTATGCCTAGGAACTTCAAACTTGGTATGGTGATTGGTCATGACCAGCAGATGACCTATTGATTTTGGGGTCAAGGGGTCAAAGGTCAAGGTCACATTGACCTTGTAGGTAAAAACGGTTTCCGATCAATAAACTAAAAACGCTTAGGCCTAGGAACTTCAAACTTTGTGTGATGATTGGTCATGACCAGCAGATGACCCCTATTGAGTTTTAGGTGAAGGGGTCAAAGGTCAAGGTCACATTGACCTTTTAAGTAAAAACGGTTTCTGATCAATAACTCAAGAACGCTTAGGCCTAGGAACTTCAAACTTGGTATGGTGATTTGTCATGACCAGCAGATTACTCCTATTGATTTTGGGATCAAGGGGTCAAAGGTCAAGGTCACAATGACCTTGTAAGTAAAAACGGTTTCTGATCAATAACTAAAGAACGCTTCGGCCTAGAAACTTCAAACTTGGCATGGTGATTGGTCATGACCAGCAGATGACCCCTATTGATTTTGGGGTCAAAGGTCAAGGTCACATTGACCTTGTATGTTAAAACAGTTTCCGATCAATAATAAGAGAACCCTTAGGCCTAAGAACTTCAAACTTGGCATGGTGATTGGTCATGACCAGCAGATGACTCCTATTGATTTTGGGGTCAAGGGGTCAAAGGTCAAGGTCACATTGACCTTGTGGGTAAAAACGGTTTCTGATCAATTTACTAAAAACGCCTAGGCCTAGGAACTTCAAACTTTGTATGATGATTGGTCGTGACCAGCAGATGACCCCTATTGAGTTTTTGGTCAAGGGGTCAAAGGTCAAGGTCATGACCAGTAGATACTTTATAACCCTTATTAATTGTTTGATCACTGGGTCAGACGTCATGCATAATAACCTTATCACATGACTAATTGGCTGCTGATAGGGGGCATACATGTTTTACAAACATATCTTGTTGTACTCATTTTAGAAAATCATCAGGTCTTATTGCTGATAATTCTATATTTTTGTAAAGTTATTTCATCATGTGAAAAAGCTTTTTATCTTGTAAAGTCAGTTCTTCTTTATGCACAAGTAAAAGAAAGTGTTAACATCAAATGAGCAACTTTTTTTCAACTTTCTTTTTTTTTTTTTCGTTGTGTTTTTGTTCTGTGTTGAAACTTTCTAAAAGTTTTGAAATAAACATTTTAGTTCAAATGTAGTTATGTTAGACTATAAATAGGGTAAATAGTTTTATTTTAGTATTATTTTTGCTTAGTGATTTTGCTTCTTTGTAGATAGTTTGTACTTTACATATAAGAACATATAAACTAACAAAAACGAGGGTTTGAGGTAATATAATATTCTCAAATTTCTTAATAAAGAAATAATAAAAAAGGAAAGTCAGATCTCTTTGCTCTGTGCATTCAATGACTAATATTTAGTTTTTAGTTAAAGCTACATATATAGTACAACCTGTACAGAGCAACAACCTGTGGGAGACAAAAAGTTTGGATGTTGCCGAGAGGTGCTGCTCTTACATTTTAGTTTATAGTGTACTTCATTAATTAAAATTTAATGTAATAAGAATATTTGCAATATTCTGTTGTATAATGTCATCTTCAAATAATGATTTTGTTTAATAACATTAGACAAGGATGTCTCCATATATGTTGTCTCTATTGTTTTTAGGAAGTGTAGGAATTTGTAAAAATAAAAAATCTATTTTCCAATATATGATTTTATATTTCACATATCAAATGATTTCATGTTGGCCTAGATCATCTGCCTAATTATATTTTGCTTTGCAGACTTAATTTTGCTGATTTAAATGACTTGTATTAACTTTAAACCAGCATGCCTCCAGATTTTATAATATAGCAGACTTCTTTTTTGGTGAAAAAAGTGAGATTTCTTCATAAATAGACAGCAGCCGTGTATATTATGAGTTATAAAGATTTTTAACAGGTTATATGGCCCTATATAAATGATTTTTAACAGGTTATATGGGCCTATATAAATGATTTTTAACAGGTTATATGGCCCTATATAAATGATTTTTAACAGGTTATATGGCCCTATATAAATGATTTTTAACAGGTTATATGGCCCTATATAAACGATTGTTCTGGAGGTGTGCTGATTTAAAACTTGTATTTGAGTATATTAATATGTCACCATTGTCACAATAATTATATATAATCAGACTGTGAACTATCTACTTATTGTTGATACAAACTTATATGATAACTTTTGTAATATTTTATGGTAGCTTATTGAAAGTATAAGGTTATGTTTTGTTTAACATGTTTAAAATATCTCACTGAAGTAAGAACAGGTGCCTATTTGTAGCAGGTACCTTGCTAATGTTAGTTTGCCAGAATATCTACAACATAATATTGTATGTGTTTGCTTTTAAAAAGTCTGTAGAATTTTAGTTCTGTTTGACTATAAATCATGTCAACTACAGTTAAAATGTCTGAAGAATTTCAAGTTTTGTTTGTCTTGAAATAATGTAGAATACAGTTAAAATGTCCAGATAATTTAAGTTCTGTTTTGCTTGAAATCTTGTAAACTACATTAAAAAGGCTGAAGAATGTTTGTTCTGTTTGGCTTGAAATCATTTAAACTAAGTTTAAAAACTGGAGCATTTTAGTTCTGTTTGATTTGAAATCATGTAAACTAGGCCATCCTTAAAAAAATGTTTGTTTGCAGTAACCCGACCCAGAATTTTCAAGGTGGGTAGGTAGGTCGATTTTTTTTTTTTTTTTTTTTTTTTTTTACTGTTCTCCCAAATAAACATGGAATTTCAAAATGCTGGACAATATATGCTTTGATAATCTGGTAACAATTATTAAATTGATAACTGAATTCTAATTTAATAAGACCTACATTTTATTTCTTCCATTAACCTTTAAAAGAACGAAAACAAAGCACAAGGCATAATTTTCTGAGTCAAAAAAAAATTTTTTTATCCAGACCATGAAAAAAATTTTGAGTAGGGGCAAATTTTGTGAGTCGGTCGCGTTACTGCAAACGAACATTTTTTTAAGGATGGCCCTACATGTATAAACTTTGGAGCATTTTAGTTCTGTTTGACTTGAAATCATGTCAGTTACATTCCATATAATTAGATGACAATGTAATTTAGCAAATGGCTGGTTACAATTATATTATGTAGTGATATATATGTATAATGTTTTGTTGGTACCAATGGATGTTTATTCGACCAGATGGACAATGATATTGTATATTTTATATTGTTAATTTATTCAAATAAATACCATTATATTATTTATCTATTTAGTCTTATGTTTTTACTAATCTATGATTTATAAGCTCAACTTTTGCGCTATTGTCATGTCCTATTTTGCAGCAATAGCTATCCATGCACCTTCATAAGTGCTACCTGCCACACCCATTATCTGAGCAAAGGTCAATGTCACAGGGGCCTGTAATTACAAAACGTGAATAAAAGTGCATTGACCTAAAACTACAAACACATTGTATGTGGACATATCTTGATATAAGTTTTACTTACTATGCCCCTTTGTGTAGTCAAAAGGTCAAACAATTTTTGGAAAATATGCCGTTTTTAATCCAGCACTGAGAAAAATGTAGTGTGTTGGTTCGAGGACGGCTCATGTTTTAAGTTTAAGGGCTTAGTGTTGACTTTGAATGAACTTGAAATTGCCTCCTATGACTGGAAAGCATGTAAGACCATGTGAAAGAGCTATCAAGTTCATTTTGCTGTAGGTCAGTGGTTCTACTATTCTTATAAGGTACCCATTTGTGTGTGAAATGATATTGTATGGATCAGCATCGTAAGTCTTCCTCTGTAAGTGAACCTTTAAGGTTGGTATTTGACCATGAAAATGTAAGTATAAAAGAATTCCTTTTCTCCAACACCTTAACACCTGGAAGAATAGTCGTGTATCATATGTATATACCAGAGGTTGTGATATAATTCATAAATGAGCCGCGTCACGACATAACCAACATAGTGGGTTTGCGACAAGCATGGATCCAGACCAGTTTTTCTACTTGTAATAGAGTTAGTAAGTAAACAGCATGGATCCTGATCAGACTGCGTGGATGCGCAGGCTGGTCTGGATCCATGCTGGTCGCAAACCCACTATGTTGGTTTTGTCGTGACACGGCTCAAATTTAGATCAAGTTATGCAGTGCGGCCATGCAGGTCCATCATACAGAGTACACATGTACTGCTTTAGTTTCAGTTTGACTTAAAGCAAACGGCAGTAAAAATTGTAAATATTTTTGAAAAGGAACTATTTTTACCAGTACCCGGGACGATAATAACCCCAACAGCGTAATTCCTGGCAATGGAGATATTAAACAAAGAAAAGAAACACGCATATATACATGTATTTGTTAAGTCTTTATTCGAAATATTTTTCATATAATATGCTAGGTTATATTGAAATATAGGTTAATCGGATTAAATTATCATCGATGAATGATTTTGCTATAGAATTTTCATAACTGTTTTCAAATTGATTTTAACCAAGCAATTGTTTTCGGCATAACTGCTATAAAAATATATTCATGATAAAGAAGGAAAGACGTTTTACCAGAATATAACCAATTAGAAGTCAGTATATTGTAAATTATATTTAATCTAGATATTGTTAGTTTCTTAATTGCTAGAAAATCCGTTATCACGAACAAGTTTCGTATAGAATTTCCCAGAATCCTTCAGTTCCCTAGCTCTATTAGGATCTGTAAAGTTAACTTGATACAGTCCAAACTTGATAGTGTAGCCACTGGTCCATTCTAGGTTATCCATTAATGACCAGGCCATATAACCCTTCACATCACAGTTGTCAAGATGTATAGCTGAAAGAGATGATACATTTTAAAGGTTAAATTGAATACATGTATGTCACATTAAAGCAGCACGGACAAAAAACCGGTATGGACATTTCAACGTCATGATTTCACGATTTCAACTCTATAAATTAATGATTTCAACTTCATTATTCCACGATTTTAACTTTACAATTCAACTCGTGAATTAAACTTCACGAATTCACGAATTCAACTTCACGATTTCACTATTCCAACTTCACGAATTCAATATTTCAACACACATATCATAGTAACGGAAGTTTAATGACAAATGTTTGAGAATTAGCTACATGGTTAACTTATAGTTTTTATAAAGTAGATGTTAATATTGTTACAAAACGGAATCCCAAAAGAACGCCCAAAACGACAAGATTGAAAATGTTGCAGGCTCGGTTTGATTGAGCCGGTTCATTGACGGTAATGGAAAGTGCAAGTAACTGCGCACGCCCTATAGCACCGGCTTATGCAGAATTTAACATTTAAACATGCAAATGTTGACATTTTGAATTTAAAAACAAGCATATATGTGTTCTTTCAAAGAAAATCACCACCAACATCGCAAATGACTGTTGCAAAGTCTGTGACCAAAACAGACAATTACATTAAAAAGAGACAACCCCTTATAAAAGACCAACCGTGCATAGTTGAAAATGTTCAACCAAAGCAATTTATATAAAATAAATACTACCAACATTTTTACCTTTAAGCATCTCATTCGTGTAAGATTTATAATAGTTTAATCTTCCCATGTCATGTAAGCCACCATCATCCCCAAAACCATTCTCTGTTACATACACTGGGGGATTATTGTACCTATCCCGAATCCAACGTAACAAACTTCTTAATCCCCATGGATTGACTTTTAGCCAGCCCGCCCTCGATCTGTAGCATAGGAGATATAGTTTTTTGAATTACAATATATGTCTGATTCTTAACATGCCCTTGATGGGTATCATGCCTTAAAGGCACGCTCTGCCTCAGAAATCTATATTCATGAAATTCATTAGAAATGTGTAAATAATGTTTTAATAGCTGATTAAGAGCATGTAAGGTGTTTAACAGCTGAGAAAAGAAGCGGTAAATGTACAGTAATGTGTCAAAAAGGTAACAAAACGTAAACAAATTAGTATTTCGACTTCCATACAAAATACTAATTCACTATAATTATAAAACCAATTGCCAACAAAGCAAAAGGAGCAAAGGTAATTCATCTATATGGCAAATGAGTATTTTTTATGAAACTGTAACAAGATACCAAAAATAAAAACAGTTATTCAGAAATAAAAATGACAACATTTCTGAAGCATTTCAGAGGTAATATCCTCTTTCCATTAAAGGGACTCCACTGCGGTTTCTGGTTGACATAGAGGGGCTGAAAATATTTTCACGAGATTTGTGTACCATTTGATGAAGTTCTTAACCAATAACTTATGTGCAAAAATCAAATCATTTGCTCACTCCGTTTTTCCTAAATAATATTTTTATAGTTTAAAATAACCAAACTTGAAAAGCGTTGCAACGCTTTTAACTCAAAGTTGGTTAAACACCACACAAAATAATGATTATAGTTTATTAAAAGCATATTTCTCTTTTATCTCATAAATTGCATATTTATTCATTTTAAGTGAACCAATTGATATATATTCAAGAATTTAAAAGTTTATATGTTAAGGCTTCTGTATCTCAGTGGAGCCCCCAGCCTACTTTGATACTACATGTACAATACCGTAAAATTGCTATGCTAAAAGCAAATAATGTATTTAGGGAAACATATCTTTTTATGGAGTACATGCTTTGAAGAAACTCGGTGAAATATTCAGGACAGAAAGTATAAGTTTTATACGGCTTAGCCTTTATCAGGTTGGCTTAGATAATACTTGTCTTTGAAGATAAAACTATACAGCCATCTGTAGTTTAAAAAAATCAGACTATCCAATTCAACTACAATGGCCATTGAACTTGTTTCTTTGAAATAAAAAAGTATAATAGATTTTATTAGTCGATAAGAGTAATAAATAATAAGGTTGCATAGAACAGGAAAAAAATTACCCGGGCCAGCAATCGTCCGTCTTGGTGTACAGGTCCTGGTCGCCCTCATAGTTATCCCGCCTGTTGTCATGGTTATGTCTGACATACTGGGTGGTGTAATGATTCAATCCAAAAAAGTCGTAGGCGCCTTTATAGAACAAAATGAAGAGAGAAAAAGATGTTAAATAATGTATGCAAGATAATAATAACAAATGGGAACACACATTTGATTGATATTCAGTGAAAAGTCTGATTTACATTAAATTTTAACATTTCATGTTATTCTTCTTCCACTTCAATTTTATGTTCCTGAAAGTTCTGGTGTATTTTCAAGTAGACATCAGTATAGTAAAGAATGTCAAAGTTTTTGCGTCAGTATAGACAGCTATAATTTATGCCCCAACAGCAATAGTTGTCAGTGTATATAAAATTATAATGACAGGGATGACTTTTTTCTAAATCCTAAATTAAACAATTTTCTATAAACCACAGAAATATCTCTAAAACTAGATCGTAGACTACTAAATTACCGCTGTTCATTTTGATTTCCTCTTCCGTGAAGACTGGTAACCGTGACTTGCTTTTCCCTTCCTCCCGGCTTCTCTTGTCTACTACATGTCTCATAACCGCCGGGTAATCTCCGTTACCATATATTGGATTAGCAAACCATCCCAGTTTGAATTGTAGCGCGCGCTCAGCTGCGTAGCGATCCATCGATGACGTAGTACTCGGTTCCTTCCAGTCACAGTCCAGAGTAATTCCCACTTTTCCTGTAAAATTGAAATTGTTGTAGAAATGAATGCTTTGGTATTTGTTTACTAAATATTCAAGCTGCCTCGGGATTTTAAAATTTATTTGATATTTTTTAAAAGTTTGTTTGGTTTGGAATATTCAACAGATGCAATTTGGTTTGCGATGATGAAATAAGTCAAAGAAATATCATTTATACGAAACTGAAATAAACACAAACATCACACGACATATTGTTTTCTCTGAATGATTAAAGACAAGCCATAGTTCGAGTTTGTTTGAATCCAGTTAAGTAATATATCCGGCCAGTCTGTGGATATTCGGACGTACACAATGTAAGAGCGCCGACATTCGACATATCAGTGTCTTTAACTATATTTAGAAACTAATAATTTCATCTGACGTCTATGTATTTCTACTAACAAATGAAACAAATGTTGCATAGTAAGTTTGAGAAGTCCTTTCATAGATGGCAGTGGAAGTTTCAAGCTACTGTCAACGAACCTACTCCGATACCGGCTTAAGCAGCGGTCATACGTATGAATACATTATAATTTAGTCTAGAAAGCAACAGTTACACTTACCATGGTACATGTGTCTGAACAATTTATCGTAGGTATGGTAGGCTTTTACATGTGACCTGATGATGTTGTGTGCCACTCTATATACACCGTCACCAGGGCTGTTTACCCCTGGGGCAAACACGCCAATACCGTACCCAAGCCATGACACAACAAACGCTTCGTTAAATGTTAGCCACAATGGAACCTTTAATGTGTTTTATTACATGCTTTTCGGTGGTTTATAGAAATATATCAGTGATATAAAACTGGTAATTTCACTGTTTGAAACAGTGAAATTACCACTTTGATAATTTCACTGTTTTGAATTTAAGCCCCTTACCTTGTTTCAGTGAAATACAAGCGTGCACAGTACTGGGTACCAACTTAATGACGTGACGTCGTAAATGACGTCACGTTGTTTTATTATTTGGCGCGCTTTTCATTCAGTATTAGGTTTAATGTCTTTTTAAAACGTTTATTTGCATATAATAAAAAGAAAATTTGTTTAGTTTAGTGTAAGATCGAAATATATTTCACCTTGTGAACACCAAAAGTTCATATTTCACTCGTGGCTGCGCCACTCGTGAAATATACCTTTTGGTGCTCACTCGGTGAAATATATTCCGATCTTACACTGAACTAAACAAATATCCTCTATATAATATATTTTATGTATAATATAGAATGGTGGTTGCCTTTAGAAATACTTCCGAACCTTTTGAAGAGTGAAAAATGTACTCGATTTTTAATTTAAAAAAATGGATTTCTTTTGACTATTATATTACGTACCGTATGTTGATACTGACAATACATACATTATTAACTATATTTTTGTGTTTCAAAACAGCGGTCAGAGCTTGTCGTCAACGATTTATCTTTCACAAGTTAAAATCAGTTATAGCTAGTTAAAAACGTGAAAAAATCAATTTAAAAAAGTAACGTACATATTACATATTAAACAAGTTCAACGTTATTAATGTTAACCTTATTTTTTTTGTCAGTTCTTATTTCTAGTTATAAATAAGTTTTGACAATAATATAATAGCATTACTTTTGTAAAGTGATTAGTAAGGCCAGAGCTCACTATTTGAATAAAAAGTACTAGTAAACTTCTAGATCTATTTGACTGTGTGATAATTTTGGTATATGCCAACCACAAAGAATATAGAATAGAGAAAACAGAATCCATAAAGAAAGCCTTACACGTCAAGACCGAAAATGTTGCAGGTTCGGTTTGATTGAGCCTTGTAATGGACAGTAATTGTAATTGCAAGCTACTAAGCAACGCCCCCCCCCCACCCACCCCAAAACACCGCCTTAAGCAGAATTCAACATTTAACATGAACTGGTAAATTTTGAACTTTGAAACATTCGCAGGTTTTTTTTTCACATGGCGGTTATCATGGATTATCATTCCATGAAAGCGCTATATGGAACATTTAAGACTGTTCCCTGATAGAGATTCATATCATACCTACTAAAACTAACAATGTAAAAAAGCGAATTAAAAGCAAGACAAGCACAGTGCAAATGTAAACAGAATAAAATGTTCATAAGTTTTTACCCTATCACCAAATTGTTCAAAGCAGACTTGAGCATAGTCGTTAAAATAGTCAACTATACTATCGTTCTGGAAGCCGCCTATGTCCTGTAGTGCTTGTGGTAGATCCCAATGATACAGGGTCACCATTGGTGTAATCCCATTGGCTAACAGCTCATTTATCAAGTTATTGTAGTAATCAACACCCGCTTTGTTTAGTGACGTCGCTCTTCCGTCAGGTAACACACGGCTCCATGCAATAGAAAAACGGTAATGTGACGCCTGTGAATTAAAAAAAAGAAAATGTAGTTAACGATTCAAACTTATGTAATGGAAAACGGCACATCAGTTTACGAAATAACGTATTTCCTTAAATGGAAAATTAATGATAATTTATATGCGTAATTTAAAGCAGAATATCCTGTAACAAAATCTGTATAACTGATTGCCTCCTTGGATCAGGATAGAAATTGATACAAAATCTATCGTGTGAACGCCACGATAGCACAATAGAAAAATGGTATTTTTAAACTTATAGCAACCTTGCTGCTTCGTTGCAGATTTAATTGTCGCCCTAGTGCAGTAATGGGTTAACTCCTGAACTAATTCAATAGGAATTAACCCGTTACTGCATCAAGGTGTCGAAAGTGTTAAGCCAAAGACTCCATTAAGAAGTAGCTGTAAAATATATTGACCGATAAGAGGTTAAGAAACAGACTTTTTCAAATGTCATGCCGTACAATGTTGTCATATATTGTAAAAATATCAATCGGACTTACCCCTAATCTTTTAATATTTTGTACATCTTGTTTATATTTATGATAACTATCGCAGGCAACATCTCCTGTCTGGGAGTAGGCCAGTCTGTTGTTGTGGGCAAATTTATCCCAGATACTAGGACCTTTGCCTGAATAAGGAAAACACCTGGTTGTAAAAATTGTCAGAGTCATATGTCACGACAGGTTTATCATTCTATTTAAAAGACCCTGGTGACGATGAGCAGAAAGCTTCACGTTACTGTTTGACTATTTGTTTTATTAAGCAATAGTGCCAGCATGGCCTAGTGGTAAACAGATCAAACTAGTTATATAAGGACCACTAGCCGCATGGGTTCAAACCTCCTCAGTAGAACGCCGTTCTCTCCCTAGTTGGTACCAGGAACGTATTCGAGAATGTATTTATAAGCTTATTACCTTATACACAATCGAACTAAAATAAATTCTGCACAAACTCATTAAGAAATAGTAAAGAGGAATTTTCTTTTATTTACCAACTGTTACTAAAGAGTTTGAAGCAACAAGCTGTAGAAATTGCCAGGCAACGTATTCATTTGAATAACTTAAAATGTTTTACGTAAACTTTATAATTTTTCTAAATATTATTTCGTTTAAACACATTGATCGCCAAGAAAACGAATTCGAAATCAGATAATATTAGATATTAAAACAATCACTTATATATTTGAAATTTAGTACTATATTGAAAACATTAAGATTACCATCTTCGTTCCACCCTCCTTCAATCTGATATGCCGCAGTGGCCACGCCCCATGCAAAATCCTCAGGGAATTGCCTGTACATAAACTCATCTTTTTGGCGAATAACTTGAAAACAAACCATTAAATATTAGTTTGTTATTGGTGTAAAACATGAATCTGGAGCATTTAGTGTTTTTGTATTGTTTTATTAGATAAGATTCTGCTATTTTTCACTAAAATGATATTTTTTATAATTACATAAATATATGAAATAATTATGTTTTTCCACCGAAATATATCTGTGTAGCACGACTCCTATTTTCCAGTGAATAGCATTGGCTTTTATTTTCGATTTCGAAACCCTGGTAAAGGTTCCACCTCGTAATCATAGTCAGATGGTAAAATACTTTCCAAAAGGACCGGAAATAGGATTTGCGCACATCATCCGCCATTTTGTCGCCCAAATAAAACATCCGGCATTCCAAAGACAAATTAAAAAAGCAAGAACTCGCCTCCTTACCACCGATGTTTCTCAGCATTTCCCAGGGGTTGTCTGTTGCAACATCAGAGTGCAGCAGACGAGTCAGAGGCGGGATAAATATTTTCAATCACATAACCTGTATAACATGTAAAAAAACAATAACAACACATTCATATACGTACCTTCAGGAACAAAATATTTCGGATACGAAAACACGTCTCCGTTATGTGATATAAGCGTCTTGTAGTAACTTGCCGAAGCCTTTGGTATCCGTTCTTTATTTCCAAACTCCACGTGATACAGGCCGGATTTTGTTTTAAAGCCGTTTATCCAATCAAAACCGTCCAATAGCTGTGCGGCAAAGAAACCTTTTATATTAACACCATCATGCATTGCTGAAAATATAAATATTAATATCAAAGGCGTACATTTTATATAAAATGATTTTTTAAAAGAAAAATTTATAAGATAAGAAAATTTATCGTTTCTTGCAAGTGCTTTCCATATGTTTTATTCTAATATATAAAAAGCAGGACAGATTTATATAATCCAGTTTAAACGGCTGTATGTCAGTTAACAAAGGTTCTATAACAAGCGGCATATATCTCCGAATAGTCTTTTTAATTAAATAAGAATTTAAGACATTGCACAATGTCTTTCGTGGAGTAGCCATTACTTATACGAGTATATTTTTAGTTAAAAATATTTTTGACAGGCTATATTGCCTTATATAAAATGTTGTTTTCATATATAACCCGAGCCGCTATAGGTAATATTCAATAGACATTTGTGTTAAATAAACTTATATCAAATAATAATAATTCAACTAACCATTTCGTACTGCCGTCATAGTTTGTGTCATAAAGGTTATTCTGTCTTGGTCATACAACGTTCCACAATCACTGAACCCGCCATTAAACACGTGAACTACGGGGTTGTTGTATGACGTTTTTATCCATTCAAGTAAATCTCGTAGATCTACCTCAGGTGATCTGTAAGTGTTGCAAAAATGTTAATGAGGTTTCTGCATCTATTGTTAATGTATCTATACAATTTGATTCAAACATTATTGTTATATGTAAAAGTAGGATATCATTTTATTATCGCAATATTCTGCCTCTACTAGGAGTCGTATAATATTCTGAAATTTTATTCCCTTTTTTTTGTTCTTTCATTGCCATTTTGAGGTTATAACGATAACGACTTTTATTGTAAAATATATAGAGCAGTTTATGATACTGCACGTTTGTAACGTCACTTTTCATTGGATAATCGTGACGTTTATATAGTTTTATATACACGGCTGCTGTCGGCTCATGAAGAAATCTTACTTTTTTCTTTAAAAAATGATGTTTGCTGTATTATAAGTTCGTCATAAAGATTGTTGACAGGTTATATGGCCGTATATAAACGGCTGTTTGCAATATAACCCTCGCCTAGCGGCTCGGGTTATATTTACAAATAGCCGTTTATATAGGGCCATATAACCTGTCAACAATCTTTATAACTAATAGTATAAACTATGTATCGATGCACGGCTTATAGTTGCAAACTGGAAACAGCTAGTACGTATTTAGTGAGAAAATGAATGTTTCTAAAATTGCATGTATCATAAAAACCGTGTTTTGGAGATATTTTAACGTTTATAACCGTAAAGGGAAAAGAAATTCAGACACTCTTAAGCATGCATTGTTCATTGCACGTGTTTAATTGTACTGTTTTTTTAGTCGTCACGTATTTGAAAATTTTGTTTTTCCATTTACATTTACTTATTTTTACCTTTGAACAGCAGTTCCATCAATATTAATGTCGTTATAGTAACTGGTGTTAGTTTGTTGACCACGTGATTTTCCTTTTACTCTCAATGTCGTATCTTTTGTTACACCAATAAAATCGCTTGATCCTGCAAGTAATGTATTCTGTTATACTATATAGAGGATATTAAATGAGTTAAGTGCAAAACTGAATTTTAATCTTTTGAACTAGATAATAAAAATATATTATGTGAGCCTCTGGCAAGCAATTTATCACTTTTCCAAAATAAAGACTTTTTAAAGTGAAAAAGAATCATTTAACATTGGCGCGCCTATAGTATAACGCTAACATTCAGCACGTCATTACGCTAGTATGTTTGTGTAACGCAAATGACGTCACGTGAAAATATACGACTATACGGCCGTGCAATACCATTTTTACAGAGTCGCAAAAGCGGCACGGGTATGTTATATATTACAAAAAATTTTGTTTTCAAACATTTAACTGATATCACCAACACCGGTGATTGTATTGCAGAGTGTCTAAATTTAGACGTTCAGAATAGTTAAAGTTACACGTATATTTGAAATGAGATAGAACTCTTGCTCAATTCTTACACCAATAAAAAAAATTTGTTGTTGTTCCTTTTCTTTTTTTACCATTGATCACCAGTTGAAAACTCTTAGTTCATCAATTGAAGCAAACCTAATATGTATAAAGCTTGAAACGATAATTGTAAGTATTGCCACAATTAACATATATAACATGCCCAGTGATGTTCGTCACTACAGTATTATATATCAAATTGCTAACCCACTTTTGTTGATTTATGTAATATATATCTTATTAGGGATACATGGAAACACGTGAAATTCAAATCATTACTTGACAAAATCACAGATTGCTGTTGACAAAACCTTGAATAAAATAATTTATGAACTGTTGAACCTCTGACACCATCGGAACATTTTGGCTCTTATTGATAATTATCCGAAGTTTGACGGAAAAGGCCGACAAGATGCGATTATCTTTGAAATCTCTCCATGATAAAATAATGTTTTGAGAAAGTAACAACCCAAGAAAATGTTTGACCTTGGCTATGCCAACGATCCAAAACCAGAAAACTGGATCAATTACCTTTTTTTTGCGTTTTTTGTTGTCGTTTTTTTTTTGGGGGGGGGGGGGGGGGGGGCGTTTTCGAACCTTCATTCTTATCGGTCGCCACGTGACACACAAATGTATATGGCAGAAATCATTTGTTAAAACAATCATGTTGGGCTTTTACACTTACGATTCAATTCAGCATTTCTCAAAATGTTTGTTAAATTTATTTCATCTTTTGTTTAATAAAGACTTGAGCATTTATATAACAAGTTTATTGTATTTGTTAAGTCTTGGACCTGCATTGTGATATGAGATATTATCATGGTGCGGCGATTTGTCTTTGATGTTCCTCAGCTGTTATATGCCAGGAACATGCTTTATTGCTAATAAAGCACAGTGCGCTATGTCATATAATGCATACTTCTTTAGAAAAAAAGTGTACGTTATTTGGTATCTAAGTACACTTGGTTCATGTATAAGCGTGACCGTAGACAAATACCTAAGGGTCACTGGACGGTACTACATTCCGGCCTCGATCATTTTCTGTAGAGAAAACCCCTCGATGTCGCCCCAGGCCATGAAATTTCCACAGTCTCGTCGCTAAACTATAACTATAACTTAATATAATGTCCACCAAAAGATAGAATCAATTTATACATTTTTGTTCTTTGTAGCAAAACTGAATGGCTCAGTTGTCAAACATTTCTGGAAAGCTTACCTTGATTACTTTGTATTTCACGAGCAGTAAATGCCGGAAGTCTTGAATTTCCCGCCATTGTTGTTTTCATAACTTCCGGATAGTCACCAGTTCCAAAAATAGGTTCTGCAAACCAACCGGTTGTGAATTGCATAGCACGATTGACGGCCTCGCTTTCAGATGAAGATTCTGGGATCATCCACTCCGAGTTCAAAACGATTCCGGCAAGTCCTTTAATATCAAAATGAATTTATAATTTCGTATACTCAATGACGCATTTCTTTGGTGAAAAAAGTGTTTACAAATAGAAGTATTTCATTACATACGCCTAATTTATACCGTACTTCCGGGATTTATTATCGCTTCATATTAAAAGCAATTTGTCTAAATTGCACTTCTAAAAATCTCTTTTTCTTTCTTATCTAAATTTGATGATGTATTCATATTCATAAATTCCTTATTCAAACTGCCTTGAAATACTAAACTTCTTTATCATATTCTTATTAATGAAATATTGAGAATTATTGATAAAATAAAGTACGTAAACTAATTTTTCTGTATTTTCACTATGATTTTTTTTTTATCTAATTGATCTTGTATTTTTCTTACTTCAGCCAATACACATAACTTAAGGGGAAGTCTTTCGAATCGTAAGATAATAAAAGAAGAGAAAAGTATATAATAAACAGAAAATTCAAGTATTTTTACTATAAATACTGGACTTATTTTATTTCACAGTATGAAAATTATCATAGTTATTTTCATACCACTCGATGGAAATAAATCCTGTATTTATAGAAATATTGAATATCCTCTATGTACTGATATTCTAAGCATGCTATTTGGCAAGAACGGTCTTTATCCACAGTCGGACAATTTTTTTGATCATATGATTGTTACCTTTCTGTGTATTTTTGAACTCATCATTGTACACGTGATAAGCCCTAGCATGAGCTCGGATTAGGTTATGTGCTACAGTATACGGAGCTGTTCCTGGTTGTTTAATTCCCGGAGCATATTTCCCATCTACGTATCCTCTTGTAACTTCTTTCATAGGTTCATTGATGGTCACCCAGATTTTGACCTTAAATAATGCCATTGTAGCATTTTACAAACCAATCATTCCACAATAGCAGTCATATAGGGGTAGTATTATTAAGTAAATAAGTAGTTTCAGATTTAACTAATTGTTATCATTAAGCTCCGCGAGAGGGAGATGACATTGAAGGTAGGATATTAAGGGTGAATCTTTAAAATAACTATGAACCATATTCATATTTTCTTTTTCTTTTCATTTCTTAAAAACATATACAACAATATTATAGTACGTGTAAATAAAACATACATAGTCACCAAGCTCTTGGAACATCAGTCTGGCGTAAGCTTCAAACCTATCAACTGTTGTATTGTTCAACCATCCACCATTGGTTTGTAGAGCTTCCGGTAAATCAAAATGGTATAAACTTGCTACTGGTTGAATATTGTTCTTTAACAATTCGGCTACTAGATTCTTGTAATATTGCAAACCGTTGCTGTTCTTGTTACTTACAGAACCGGATGGTAAGACACGTGACCAGGATATTGAAAACTTGTAATGTGTCGCCTAAAAATATAAATGTTCAGCATTTATTATTTTTGACATAAATTTTTTTCCTGAAGAATGATGATGATAATGGTTATGATAATGATGATTAGGATGATGGTAATGATAATTATGATGATGAATTAGATGATGATACTGCTGTGATTGCTGCTGCTGTTGCTGCTGCTGATGATATTAATGATGATGATGGTTATGATGATGATGATGATGATTTAGAAGTGTCTGTTGTTACTTAAAAATGTTTAACCTTAAATAATTAAGTTGATCAGTGGTATAAATTTATGAGGTCAGATTAAAAAAGAAATTGAAAATTTTATCTAACTTCATACACATATGACAAAGACAATGCATTAATATCACATGCATTGGAAGACTTAGAATCAACCTTTCTTTCAAGTATAAATAAGCCTAACTGCTGATTACACCTGAACAATCTTTTTAATGTCATTTTATGACAAATGTCGCTCAAGTCACAAGCGTACCTTCAGTTCTTTCAGATGTTGCACGTGGTCCTTGTATCTATGGTAACTGTCACATGTATCATCACCATTATCACCTCCCTTCTGGTGCGTAAAAGTGTCCCAGATACTCGAGCCTTTTCCTGAAAACATGATAACGATAGGGTTTATATATACTTGTTAAAAAGCTAAGGGACTCAATTTCAGCTATGACCATTAGTGGTTGACGAGTCGGACTAGTAATCTAAGGATTGCTAGCTGCGTGGGTTCAAACCATGTTAGGGGCAAGCGGTTGTTTCCTTGAGCACAAAAATTCACATTCATTGCATAGTACTGGTTGGTTACAAGAACTGGTTCAAAGTATTTTAATACGCTTATAGCTTCAAACACAAACAAATTTAAATAAATAAATTTGTATAAACTAATTGCAAATAGTATTCTACAGATTTCACGTACCGCGTTTGTTGCTGTATCGTAATGACGTTATTCAACAGAGTAATGTAAGAAAGAAACAATATATTTCATGCAATTCTTTGTCTTAAACAATTCACGAAAGAAATCTGGGCAAAACCGGTAAAATGGAAATCTTACAGGTAGCCTAAATGGCAAAAATGAAAGATGTTCCAGACTCGGTTTTACAGACAGTACAAAATTTCAATTTAGTTCATACATATTTATTTAAGCTCGATTGCAAAACAAGTACCTTCAACTTATTAATGACTATTAAAACCTCTTCCTGGAATCATCCATTACTGGTGTCATATAAAGAAACATGTCAGTGACCATATTAGGGCTCGAACCAATGATCTCCGGGTTGCGAGGCAGATAGCATAAACCACTAGGTCACCATCCATTTTCTTAATGTAGCATTTATATTAAAATGCAGAAAAGTTTTTTTTTAATTGTGTAAATGATACATTATAACAAAAATTTAAATACACACCATCAGAATTCCAGCCGCCTTCAATTTGGTATGCAGCAGACGACACTCCCCATACAAAGTCATCTTGAAACGCTGCGTTAACTTCCGGTAGTGCTGCGATTGTTAAACACAAACAAGTCAGAACCACATGAGTTTGAAACATAATTGATCAATTACAGAAGAACTTACAACTTTGCATTTATTAGATATTTTAGTTGTAAGCGATTGGTAAAGAGTTATCAAATCTTTCCCATCACATCTACAGCACTCGCGCTATAAATGTCACAATTTTTGAACTTCAGGTTGTTAAATATTACGACATTTTGTAAGACATGGAGATATAGGCTCGTATTGTCCTGATATTTACTCAGAGTTTAATCCCTTAAATTTCTAACTCAGCAGACGAGATAAGGCGATATCACTTGAATGACGCGAAATTGGTTACAGAAGTATCCTTTATATATGTAGTTAATATACTTATATATAAACATATAAAATCTAGATACCGGATATGCAAAACAACCTAGCTATTCCAAAGGTGATCATGCACAACTGGAGTGCCTGTCACAAATATTTGTTTTAACAAATCCAATTTGATGTATATATATAGATAAGAGGCAAGTCATTGTACCCAGTGAAAACAGTGCAGTAAGTTTATCTAGAGGACATAGATATAAGATTTTATGCAGTTTCTTGTGACAATTTTGTCTTAAACAATACAATAGATAAAGTGGTACTTAAAAATGCATATTCTTTGATCAATTATTTGAAACATTTTAGTAAGATGGCATCTCGTGCCGTCTTTCTGTTGGTGGCTTTGATGATTTTCACAGACTACAGTGTAGCAGACGATAAGTTTATCTTTGGTCAATTCCCAGACGATTTTCGATGGGGGATTACAACATCCGTTTATAGAAATGTCACAAACGGGAACCAAACCGGTAAAATTTATAATATTCTTTGAGGTACATCTTAATGATTGAACTGGTTTTAATGAAGTCGTATTCATCAATTATATATTCCTTTAAACAGCATTTTTTTGGTAAACCTAAGTTGGTGATTATAAATTTGACAAATTAAATAAGCTAGTGTCATAATTCTAAAAATGAACATCGGCTTTTATAAGTACACATACATATGCACATGTATTCATATAAAATGCGATGTAATGTAAAATTTTGATAATTTATAATGTATTTATAGTGGACGAGATTGTTCAAGCTGACATAGATGGACTGAAGTACCTCGGGGTATAGTTTCTATCATTCTTTGTTATCGATAATATTTCTTTATCTATTCTTTATCTCAATGGGCAAAATATTATTTCAATGATTAAAGGGACTCCACTGAGGTTTAAAAGTCTAAAAACATAACATTTTAATTTCTATTATAAGTTATCTGGGAACTTTAAAGAGAAATGTTTGTAAAGATAATTAAGAAATATACTTTGAAATAAATTGAAAATCGAATTTTTGTGCTTTTCTTAGCTCGATTTGAGTGATAAGCGTTTAAACGCTTTTCATTTTTGGTCATTTTTTGACAATTTCAATAATTATTCTGGAAAAACGAAGTGCGCAAATAATCTGAAATTTTGCACAAAGATAAGTGCTCTTAACCTACATAAAATGGTACATTTATCTGGAAAAAATATTTTCAGTCCCATCATGTCAAAAAACCTCAGTGGAGCCCTTTAATGACTTATTTGTTTGCATGTTTGTTCCTAATGGTTTTTGATGTCTTACCAACTGAAAAGAACAATTTTTATTCTTCAAATCAGATTTAGCTCAACTTTTTCGAAGAAAAAAGATCGAGCCACTAGTATTGTTACAGTCATGCCGTTCGTTCAAGTACCCCAGTACCCGTTGTCTTCCATTGGTCATATGAGCCGCGCCATGACAAAACCAACATAATGGGTTCGCGACCAGCATGGATCCAGACCAGCCTGCTTATCCGCGCAGTCTGATTAGGATCCATGCTGTTCGCTTACCAACTCTATAACAAGTAGAGAAACTGATCAGACTGCGCGGATGCGCAGACTGGTCTGGATTCATGCTGGTCGCAAACGCACTATGTTGGTTTTGTCGTGACGGACGCGGCTCATATCTTTCTTTTTATTCAAACTTGAACACAACATCGCTTTGTACAAGACTGATAAGAAGACCAGACTTTACTTGACTTCTTGGTTCGACCTTTAAGGTCAATTTATTTAATTTTGCTACATTTTTGCTATAACTAGCTATATCTTTGTGATTAATCTTTAAATGATCTGACCTTTAAATGACATTGGCCGTCACGGTTGAAGTATTGTATTTTTTTCATTACTTTGTTGTTATTTACGCATTTGATTCATACTAGGACAAAACAACACATATGGCAACACCAGCATGTTGAATAGTTTAAGTATGACCTTGATCTGTAAATGACCTTGACTGCGAATGTCAAATATGAAGCCTATAATTATAATTTTCTACAAGAAATTTTCAAGATAATTATTTTCCACAATTTTCCACAATTTTCTTCATTTGATGTTTTTGATTTAGTTTATTGTGGCCCGCTTAACGGTGGCGATTGTTCATTTTTATACTTTTACATATTTGAATTTATGCACATGAATATCCTAAAATGAAAAGTGAAAAGCTACGAACAATGCATGATGCAATTTTCTGAATATGATTTCTGATACGACCTTGGAAAGAAATAACATCCCGTATGATTTTAATTGGTACCCGATTTGTTTAATACAAAACTATCTCCAAATGGAAGTGATGTTCGCAAACCGCCTTCGAATCACAGACTTAATTAATGTTTTATATAGTAATTTAACTTATTGCTTATCAGTGAATTTTAAAATAGTATTTCATATTGAAAAACAAATTTAACTGAATTTTTGTCCGACTGCCCGATTAATTATGCTTGTACCATAAGGTCTATCTTCACTTCTTCTACAGATATCAACGTTCAAGTTGGCCTTAGACTGGAACTACCTTGTAGGTGATAGACCTGGCAACGGATTAGATGAAGACGCAATCCTATTTTACATATCTTTGGTGGATCAACTTCAACAAAATGGAATAGAACCACATATCACTTTACTTGAGGTACATTTCATAAAATTAAAAAAAAACAAAAACAGCATAAAATGAATTTTTAGTCTATACATGAATATTGTATTAAAGAAACATTGTGAACATTTTAGCAATGTTTTAACTATGAATGGATTGGTGGAAATAAAAAGACACTCTTTTAAAAGTCCAATAGTTGGAAACAAAAACTTTTGTAATATTTTTTTGTCATTTCACTTTTATTTATAAGGATGCAGGTGAATGGTCAAATGCGGCCAGCGTTGATGCTGCATGTTCAGGGGCTAAAGTTATATTAGATCGATTAGGTTCAAAGGTGAAGAATTTTATTTTATTTTATTTATATTAATTAGAATCATACTGTAAAGACAAAGACTTTTGTTATAAAAGAATATTTTTTTTATAATATTACATTAAATTATTACTTATTGTCATTTATTAACAAAAACGTGAATTCGAAAACTTAAATCTTAATTAACAACGCAATATAAGTAATAAATACAGATTTTCAACGATCTTAAAGCTCAAGCATTCGATAGTTTTATTTATTGTTTATATTCACCAAGGATGTAGGTAATGTCCATGCTTGGTTGAATTAATAATAAAACATGAAGTATACGTTATTATACATTTTAATGTTCTAATAGGTATGGTTCATGCTCAATTTGAATTAATAATACATGTAGTATATCTTATGATAATTATATACTGTATTTATATTATTCAAAGGTTACCATTTGGAGCACGTTTTCTGATCCTATATCAGTTGTCAAGGAGAGGTATACAGACAAATCTAGTTTATACAACGCCGTGCACAATATGTTAAAAGCTCATGCATGCATCTTTCATGCGTACAATACAACTGGAGGCAAGGGTCGGTTGATTTGATTGATGATTGAATAAGATTTAACTTTTATATGAAATAAATTAGACTAATGTTAAGAAAGCAAAAGTCATGTCTTGTTTACTATAAGATTCTTCCTTACTGGTTGGATTTTTGTAGCATCAAAGTCAGTTTGAATTGGCATGCAATTTGGAAAGTCTTTATTATTATTATTATTATTATTATTATTATTATTATTATTATATTTTCACCTCAATGGTTAATTTGGTTGTTGCGTGTGTTGAAACGGTTTCAATTCAACTAACATTTACCTTGATTAGCATACACGCATTTTTAATAGCTATATCTGAGATTTTGTATTTTGTATTACATGTTTTCCGTTTTATACTGATATAAATACATCGTATGCACAACATGTATACCAAATAGTTATAAAATGACGAGTATCTGGTCTTTTACAAATATTGACATATTGACCCATTTTATAATTATATTTATGCATCATTGTTTTCAGGTAAAATTGGCTTAGATTTGAAAGGAAGTTGGTACGAACCGGATTATCCATCGGAACCGGAAGTGAACCAGACGCTAGACGCAGTGTTCCAGTTTAACTTTGGATGGATAGCTGAGGTTCTTAATACAGGGGATTATCCGGAAGTAATGAAATCGAAGGTCGGCAATATGCTACCAACATTCACTGCTAAGGAAAAGTCTAATCTAATAAGTAAATATCTCAAATGTTATACTGTTTATCTTAATAAGAATATAACCAGCATTTTAAATAAACAATTTGTTTTAAAGGATTGCAGTAAACAGTCAATGTAATGAAGGGAGATGAACGGCATTTTCAATAAGGAATGTCTACTTGAATCTTAAATTCTGAGTTTAAAATTTATCAAATATGTTATGTGAATTGAAGTACACATAAGTGCTTTCACAAAATACGGGTACAAAAGAAAGTTAAATCGTGTTGTTGCAAAAAAATGTCTAACACAGACTGCTCGATATTGCCAGGTATTAGTTACCCGCACTCCAAAGCATGCAAATTAACAGACTCGTTTTTTCTTGTGCTTACTTATTGTTACGACAGAGAAAGGGATAGCGATAGTATTATTACAAAAAAATAAATAAAAATGAATATTCAGGTTTGTTGTGTCTCTGTTTGTTACAGACTCCATTGATTTTCTTGGAATCGGATATTACGGGTCATACCTTGTAGCGAAAGATGACAGACCCGAAAGTGAAACCGGTTTCATTCAAAGAGAAAATCCACTGTGGAAAAAGTATTATATTTGAAACACAACTTTTTTTATTAATTCGTAAATTATACTTTGTTGGCGTCATTCAAAGATAAACTAAAGTCTCGTAAAAACTCTTACTATTTCACTCTTTTTTAATTTAAATTATGTAACAAAGAAAAATTATTGACTGCACAATGGGTTGAGAAAGAGTCATTTTTTTCAGTTAATATACAGTTACTTTAACCGTTATCTTAATCTGCTTCTTTCATTTTTAAGGCGAGATGATCCGGTGCTATACATGTATCCAAAAGGTTTAAGACTTCTCCTAGGACAGCTCAGTAAAAAATACCCTGGTATAGACCTTTATATAACTGATACGGGTGTAGAGGATGTCGCTGACGGCGTTCGTGATAAGATAAGAGTGGAATGGATCAGAGAACACGCTAATGAAGTCCTTAAAGGTAAAATAAATATAATATTAAATTATATTAAATTATATTAATGTAATTACTTCTGAAAATACATTATATTTTCAAACATGGCAATTATTGCATTTCGAGACGCTGGAATGCAAGTTTCATGATGAGAAGCTACGTGCTCTTCTGATTACACGGAGGGCAACGGGCCCCGGCTTGTACCACTGTGGTTTTTTAACACCATCGATGGCTGTTGTACTCTTTCGAGCTGCCTTGGTGGCTTTCTGTTTGCGTGGAGACTTTCCTCCGGTAGATTTTCTAGTTGTCTGTTTTATTCTTGCCATTTTGAATGTAGATGTAGAACGATACAATGCATTTTTTCTTTAATTAACGTAGCTGTGTTAACTTGCTCATCGTATTGAAATAGATATAAATGATCAACTTTTGCTATATAGCCATACATTTAATTTTGACATGCAGTAACACATTTTTAAAAATATTTACTTTGGGTTTGTGATTATTGCAGCAATAAAACAAGATGAGTTGCGTAATATCAAAGGCTTCTATATTAGGACGCTTGTGGATGATTTACCAACCCCAGTTGAGGAGAGGAGGAACTCTGGATTGTTTGAACTCAAACAAGACGGCATTGCAAGATCAAAGAAATCTTCAGCGGTGTATTATAAACAAGTCAGTATATCAATCGTGATAAAGTTATCAGCTGTTATTGTTTGTAATTTTAAAGTCTGGTTCTTACCGAATTCCGTTAGGGTCGTAACTTATAAATGAAATTATCGAAAACCTTCAAATCAAAAGGACGATGACAAAAACAGGCGAAAGGACGATGACAAAAACTCTGAAATAACAACGCGAACATATAAATCACGAAATGACAACGACAAACATCCGGAAATACGATGGTAAAATGTGGAAATCACGATGATATGAATTTATTTCATATAATTGGTATTTCCTTCAATGATATTTCGATATACTTTCGCGTTTTTCCCTTTCAGATGTTTTCACGAAAAGGCGAATATGTCGAAATCATTTTTTACAAAATTCCTTTCTATATAAGTTACATATCGCATCAATAATAATATGGAGGGCCTGGGGCAAATAGTAGACAATTTAACTAAAATGTCCGATCATAACCCAAAATCAATGTTGAAAATGAAATTGAAGAAGAATATACTAGGATAAAAAAAATGATTGAATGATGTATGGGTTAATTTATTATCAAGTTACTTGAATACATAAAAACGTCCTAGCGAATGCGTGTGGTTCATAAGCAATGTTTGATTTGTTTATACTGTACGGTGTATCAGTCATCAAATTGTTTGAACAAGTGATTTATTGGTAAGGGTTTATAACAGTATCTAAAATCGATGAACATCTGATATCAATTCAATTTTATCTATTTATCTATCGTTAACCAAGTGCATATTCCTTTTTTGCCTTTTAACACGATGAAAAGTTTTGTTTGTTCTTCAAGTATAACACATACAACACGTCGTCGGATAGCTAAAATATAAGTCTAGTTTAGACTAACCACACAGTGCTCTATAACACCAAGATTAAATTAACTAATACCTTAGTTATGTAATAGCCCAATATCGCTTATATTATACCACGTAAAACAGCTGATAAACTACTTGCTGATATTTTTTTATTATCAAATTAAAGATTGAGGTCAAATATCAACATTTATATGGAATATCACTGCGATTTATCATCAATATTTGTCAATCACTGCCCAAAAACCAGAAAATAAACGACTTAAGAAATTTTTTTTTTAATATATCCGATGAACGGGGGATATCAAAAGGTTTTAAAAGGTAGATCTCCCTGGTATTTCAAAAACTTAAAAAAATTATGATTTTGTCCCGCAATAACATGAATGTTTGTAGCGAACAATTTATATGTCCCCTTTTTTGCCGTCATTAGACTCTGTTTAAATGTTATCCCAAACCATTATTTTGTCAAATTTTAAAGAAAATTCCTTACTTTTAATATTCACATAAATTGCCCTTAAAAGGCCTGTCTGTTTTATAGATTTTTTTCTTAAAATTTATTATTAAAACTTCTAAGGAGTTAATTAAATTAACAAAACCCAAAAACAAAAACAACCCGCTTTTAACGCTAAAAAGGGGTCAACGTGCCCCCGGGCTTAAAATCTCTTTTTTCCTTAATAACGTTTATTACTTAAACATGTATGTCACTTGCAATAATCTTGGAGTAAGTGCTAGTGTTTTGCAGAATAATATTGATGTTATATTTTTTTCCAAGGTGATCGACACTTTTCTTCAGTTTTTATTCAACATTATATTATTCTATATTATAAGTTTTGGTTTACGAAACATTGCACAATGAAAAAATTACATTACAGAATCATTAAAACATCATAATATAGGTAATGATTACATAATATATTTAAGTAGTATGTGATGACAGTTAAAATTGAATAAAAACACCTTGTTAATTCATTCAGATTATCACTGACAATGGTTTTGAGAGGGGGTACAATGGTCCGGGAGGTTTTCCCAGCGGTCCAGTAGAGCACGAGGATGGCATATACTACTGCGACTTTCCCGCGGATTTTGCCTGGAGTTCAGCAACGTCAGCCTATCAGGTGGAGGGCGGATATAACGAGGACGGTATTAAATCATTTAAATCTTTCAGACAAATTTGTTCATCATACATATTTTACAAATTTTGGATTTTTTTTAAATGAAAAATTAATTTATCAGTCATCGGTATGTTTCTTCTGAGAACGCTGAGTGCATTCTGTATTTATGTGTTTAGGGCATTGTTTCGACATTCTGTATTTTTGGGTTAAGGTCATAGTTTTTGCATCCTGTACTTTTGGATTAAGTAAATGGTTTCGGCATGTTTGAGTTAATGCCATATTTTCGGCATCCTCTATTTTTTGGTTGAGGTAATAGTGTCGGCATCCTGCACTTATGTTTTCAGGTCATAGTTTCGGCATCCTGTATTTTTAGTTTGATGTCATAGTTTCGGCATCCTGCATTTGTGTGTTCGGATCATAGTTTTGGCAACTTGTATTTTGAGTTTGATGGCATAGTTTCGGCATCCTGCATTTGTGTGTTCGGATCATAGTTTCGGTAGCTTGTATTTTGAGTTTGATGGCATAGTTTCGGCATCCTGCATTTGTGTGTCCGGATCATAGTTTCGGTAGCTTGTATTTTGAGTTTAGGTCATAGTTTACGGCATCCTGTATTTTGAGTAGAGGTATTAGTTTCGGCATTTATATGTTTTTCCAGCAACGAATGGATCAAAATTAATAGATAACCACTATGATAAATGAATGGTGAGGCGAATAACTTCCGTGACTAATGGAGGTTGTGTTTTACATTAGTAAAGCTCACATGCTTAAATTTCATCCCAGATATTATTATAGCATGAGTGCATTGGCTGATTAAATCAATTACTAGTAATACCCGTAGTCAGTATACTCGTAAGTTTAAAATAATAGTAATGTTAACTAAACATGTATAATTTTTATGTTAAAGGTTATTGTTTTCCAATCCATATATATTGTGATGTAAAAATGTTACATGCTTGTAAAAATTGATGAATAAAATATGTTTAAACTAAAGGTTATTGTATTTCAGGGAAAGGTGAGAGTATATGGGATGTTCATGCTAACACACCAGGTGCTATTACTAACGATGATAATGGAAATATAGCATGTGACAGTTACCATAAATATATGGAAGATGTAAAGATTCTAAAAGATTTAGGGGTGCGTTATCTCTTATCTACAAAAATGTGTTAGATTCTTTTTTAATTTCGATTTTTTTACAATAATAATGTTAGTTACATATATGCTTATTGAAGAAATTTTCTGTCATAATATTCATTTAATACTATTTTGAAAATCATATAATGTTTAAATACATAACTAATTATAAGTGGTCATTTTTTGCAGACTAAATACTATCGGTTTTCAATAGCATGGTCAAGAATTTTACCTGATGGAACAACAAATAAGATCAATGAGAAAGGAGTAGAATATTACCGTAATCTAACCAAGGCCCTTAAAGACGCAGGTTCGTATAGCCTGCAACATTTTCAATTTTGCCGTGTTTTCTTTAGGGGTTCTGTATTTCTATACTGTACAGCACACAATAATGTTCAGAAACACGCTAAAAATTGCTTTATTTCTTTAAAGCGGTTTTTATTTCTTTAAAGCGGTCTTTATTTCTTTAAAGCGGCCTTTATTTCTTTAAAGCGGTCTTCAGCTTTTACTATCTGTTGTAAATAATTCTGCGGTGTTTTTTTTTTTTTTTTTCAAACTAAGTATTTCAATAATTTTATCTTGGAACAGTGCATAATATCACTGTTAAGCCTTCTTTGAGAGCTTATTTATAACACGTCACTGACATTTGTTTTTAGAAATAGAGGATCGGGAAACGAATTGTCCGCTTTAATTATATTTAAGTATAAAGAGCTGATTGGTACTCTAGAGGTTTCGGAGGGTTTTAATACTTACAGTTCATTAATTTATCCTTGATAAATTTCATTTTCAACCTTAATTGCTTTGATTTTACAGTAACATGAAACGAGTTATCTATAAGTAGACTTATTTAACATTTAGAAAAGTTGAAGGCATTTTTAATTGACGAAAGCAAATTTTCATGGAAAAGATAATGTATGAAGTTCACATGCAAGTCGATTCAGTCATCATTGGATTACTTCCCTTTGTTTATAAATATTCTGGTTGAAATTCCAATTGATTAATTGAAATTAATGGATTTGCCCGGTTTAAAATTTGTAACAGGTCATTTAGAATTTAAAGGATTCAAATATGAATAAAAAATAAGCAACCAACAAATATAGCAAATATGTGTGTGCACGCTAGCCTAGCAAAGTCTAATCAATTTCTGTTCCAGCAGGTTCCAATATGTCATTTCTTTTAGAAGAAATAACGTATTTTTTAAAGATTTAAAGTTTTATTGAATAACCGTTAATTTAATATTCAGTCTTACACATAGTTATGAAGTGAATATATTTTACAGGTATTGAACCAATGGTAACATTGTATCACTGGGACTTACCCGTCAGCCTCAACAAGACGGGAGGATGGTTGAATGAAAGTATAGTTGACGCTTTTGCTGAATATGCCAGAATTTGCTTTGAAAAATTCTCCGATAATGTAAGTATTTAGTTTCAAAAATTGATAATTACAATAACTAAAAAGCAATATATTTTGTTCCGATTTATTTTACTTAAATTTCGCGGAACGTGAGAGTTATCCCCATGTTGGAAGCCGTTCTATTTGGAATTGAGTTCGAATACCTAATCCGGTAGTTTTTTAAATATCATTGTTTTATGAACTGACCTTGTCAATAATTTCATTTTCCTTTTTTTTCCATTCAGGTTAAATATTGGATTACGTTTAATGAGCCCAAAATAATAGGTCAAATGGGTTACGCAGATGGTTCTTTCCCGCCAAATATACATTCGGCAGACGTTGGGGGTTACATTGCTGCTCACAATATCATTAAATCGCACGCAAAGGCATACAGACTTTACGAAAAGGAATTCAAAAATAAGCACAAACTGAAAGGTAACTGTTTACAGATTATTTAAAAATGTTCCTATTTGAATAGAAATATATAGATCTAGCATATAAACTTCGGAGCCTCGCTTTTTGTCAAATATTATTTATTTGAGTTAAATTATTGAAATATATAAGGTTTATGATGAAACATATTCTAATCTTGTACCCGTCCCCTTATATTACATATTAAAACTGGACATGGACTTAGTTCTGTAAGTTACACATGTTTAGACTTTGTGAATAAGTTCTGGTATAAATCAGATTAGTATTCATTGGCATAACACATATATTGATGTTGATATTACATATAACCTGTGCATGATGTAGGTATTTATTAAATTTTTATAATAATTGTCGCAAAAGCTCAATTGGTTTCTTTACAACATATAGATTACCACTATAATTATCATTGGTTTCTGAATAACTGAAAGATATCATTACACGAAGGTTAATTTGTTTCTTCAAAACTTAAGATTACTACTATTATTATTACACGTAGGTAAAATTAGTTTCTGAATAACTTAAAGATTACCACTATACCTCGGTATTACCATTATACGTAGGTAAAATTGGGTTCACTGTAAGTGTGGGATGGTCGGAACCCTATGATATGTACAACCCAGATGACCTTGAAGCTTCAGATAGGGCCATTGCCTTCAGTTTTGGATGGTACGCCCATCCGATCTACATCAACGGGGATTATCCGGAGGTTATGAAAAAAACCATCCACGAGAAAAGCATCCTTCAAGGTTATAATAAATCAAGGTTACCTGAATTTACTGACGACGAGAAGAGAGAAATAAATGGTAAGTATGATCAATTCTCTACAATATTTTAAATATGTGTCCAATATTCGTTTATTTATCCTTGGTAACCTAGATGGACTCTTGAAGTAAAATTTTCTGAAATATATCAGTAGTTTTTGCTTACATTTTTACTGGAAAACTTAAGCCTGAATGATGCTGAAATTTAGCATTTAAGCACTAATCTGTCTGACATTCTGCTTTGTAAGTTTATATTATCGTTTTGTTTCAGGTACTTTTGATTTCTTTGGATTAAATCATTATTCATCTGGCTACGTAACATCTGATAAGAAGACCGACTTGAAAGCCGCTAATTATTATGACGATCAAGACAAACGCGATATAAGTGACCCAACATGGATCGGGTTCGTTTCTTTTTATTTCTCCTTTTAATCTTGGCAATTTGAAATATACAAAGGAGACGGCACAGTGTTTTGGACAGCATATTAACTGTTTATTTGAACATCTGAACACACTAGAAAAAACACCTCATCATCAAATAATATATATATATATAATATAAAATGTGATGGTAAGAAATTGATTTGCCGTGTGCACAGATGTTCAAATTAGCATTTTTATGCTAGCTTAACACTTTGCCGGCTCCCTGTGAAAAAACACCTTTTAGTACATGCCCTTTAATCTGATTTTAGAGCATACAATCAGACAGTTTTATATTTTATTTTAGGTCTGGTTCAAGCTGGCTTAAGGTTGTACCATTTGGTTTGAGGAAGATCTTAAACTGGATAAAAACACATTACAATAACGTTGATGTTTATGTAACAGAGAATGGAGTATCTGATAGAAATGCTACTTTACGTGACTATCATAGAATACACTTTTATAGAACATATATCAACGAAATGCTGAAAGGTACCTGGTATATCTCATATTTTATACTGCTTCACTAAAATTTTAATAGGAAAGATAAGTGGTAACAAAAGTATGTAACTCCGTCACTCTAAATGTAGGGCTATATTAAATAACATCTTTTCAGAAAATTCAGATCATTTTGCTCACTCTGTTTTTCCAGAATAATTATTTAAGCTGTGAAAAATAGCCCCAAATACATGTTTTAACTGCAACGCTTTTCACACAAATCGGTCTAAGAATAGCACTAAAATACAATTTTCAAGTTATTTCTGATTTTTTTCTAAATTATACATGTCACTTTATTTAAGTGCTCCAGCTGATCTATGTGAAAATTTCACATTTTATGTTTTTACGCTTTTTTTGGACCTCAGTGGAATTCCTTTAGATTAAATGTGTTTATGTATTTATAACAGTGGATAAACTTAATCTCTGTATCATCAATGGGCGAGCCTGTACAAGTAAATGGGTATGGCTAATTGCCAGCACAAGCACCTTTTACTTTCGGTGATGTATTGCAAGCTTCCCTAATTGAAGTTTGTTTTTTGCGAGAACAAGAAGTAAACGGCTGCTTGAATTCCTTTTTTTAACTTGTTGCATTTGTTACAAGAACTGGAAGAAGCTGCGTACGTTTACCCACTGTGTTTTTAGTATGCTTGTCTTATTGTAAGAGAAAATTGCTTCAGATTGTTAATCATTAATTGATACATTTGCATTTCCGGATAGCAATAAATCTTGATGGCTGTAATGTGAAAGGATATACAGCATGGTCGCTGATGGACAATTTTGAATGGAACGTTGGTTATACTGAGAAATTTGGTATTCATTATGTCAACTTTAGTGACCCCGAAAGACAAAGAATTCCAAAGGGGTCAGCATATTGGTACAGACAGGTATATAAACATTGGTCAATTGTCTCGGTTTACGGTCATGATGAAAGAAGTTTTAACTTATTTATATCGTTGTTGTGAAGTGGCATGGCCGAGTGGTTAACGCGTCGGACTAGTAATCTATTAATCGTTTGCGCACAGGTTCAAACCCCGACACGGACAAGCCGTTGTTTCCTTGAGCAAAAAACTTTACACTCAAAAACTTTACACTCATTGTTCAGTACTTTTCTTTCCAGGAACGGATAAGAAAGTATGTCTATGAGATTATAGCTTCCTATGCAATTGAACTAAAATAAATTCTATATAAAGCTTTCTGATAAGCACGAAGTTAATTTTATAAGATATTATCATATATCATTATTACATTATGATATACCATTGGTTTATTACATTTTCACAAGTACGTAAATTTATACATAAAAATTATTTGAACGAAACCACATATAGACCGTTTTACTAGACAACAAAGACAAAGACTGAATGCAAGAAAGAAATTAAATAAATAAAAAGATAAAAATGATATTTCATTGTTATAATTTCATACAGCTTATTGACGAAAATGGGTACAAACCTGGATATCCAGCTCTTGGTGGACGAGGGACAGCTCCTGATTTCGTTGGAAAATTTTACTACGATAAATTCCAGGAAGATTTTGAATGGGGCGTGGCTTCGGCTGCTTATCTGACGGAAGGTGGAAATGAAAATGATGGTTAATATTTCAGTGTTTTTGTTAAGTCATGTCATAGACAGAGAAATAAATAGAGGGTATTGAATGAGTATGAGTTCAATAATTATTTAAATGAGCTGGTTGTGTTAAATAAATAATATTACGTGAGCCCCTGAACGAGTTGAATAAAATTATTTTAAACAAGCCTCTGTCAAGCATAATATTATTATTTTCAACGAGTCCAATACATTCAGTAATGAATTTACACGAATATAATAATATGTTGTTAAGAATTTTTAAAGTGAAAACTAATTGTTTTCTCATTGACGCGCCTATAGTGTAACACTAACATTTAGCGCATTCTTAAATTTGTACTCGTATAACACAAATGACGCCACGTCAAAATATGTGCACGATTGGCAATACCATTTTTACGGAGTTGGTACATGATAAAAAAGTTTTCCAAATTTGCTATTATATATACATATATTTTAGACACTTAAATGCTAAGCAGCAAGTAATACATTCATTTGAATTGGAATCTGTATTATATTTTTGACTCTGTCCACCTTTATATGACGTAAATGACTTGATCTTTATTTGTAAATGTGCAAAAGACTTCTTATATTTGTTTAAGGTCGTGGTAAGAATATATGGTACAAACAGACGAACGGTGAGCTCAGAACTGCTAATAGTTACAACAAATATAAAGAAGATGTCCAACTTTTAAGACATCTTAATGTATGTTACCCCTACTTTTTGTTATATCTCATAGATACAATGATATTTTAATACCCCACCGCTTGTACATGCACAGTCCACCAGCTTAGTTTAATAGGAAGGCCATCGCTGATTCGATACTCGGGAGAATCCGTGAAAAAAGCCGGTAAGGTTGACCGATCAGTGATATGACAAAATGTGTTGAAGTTGGCTGACTGAATACCAGACCCTTGACCAAAAGAAAACCGTACATTTATCATTTGTATGTCATACTTCACACTTCATACATTGCATTTAGATTACAAAAACTTATTTTTTGTTTAAATTGAAAAAAATTAGTGATTTCTTGTTGTTTTTCTTATTTTCAAAACATGACATATACATATATATGTGATCCAACAAGATATCAAAACACAATGTTTGTTGTTACTTATTATCATTGTGGCATATATTGCATACGTTTTGATCTTATATTATTCTATTGAATATAACTTAAAGACCTACACGTTTGTATTTACATAAATTTATTTCTTCGATATTCTATCTTCTCTAAATAGATACCATATCTACATAAACATACATTTGAATAAAAAATTAGTTTCAAAGGAGTAGCTTTATTAATAACTTATTCCAGGTGGACACATACCACTTCTCCGTCTCGTGGTCGAGAATATACCCTAATGGTACAAAGCCTGTAAATTCAGCTGGTGTTCAGTACTATAAAGACCTAATAAAAGAACTGAAGAAATGGAATATAAAACCCGTGGTTACATTATATAATTACTGGGAACTTCCACAGACACTGCAAGGTATCATTTTTAAACAATTTTCACAATACAATAGATTCTTCAGTGTTTTTCGCTAAATAATATTCTAAATATAACTGGAGAATACTCTAAAAATCTGGAGGATACTCGACATAAAACTGGCGGATTTTCCTTGTAGTGTTACAATCTGAAACGTCACACAACTAAACCGCCAGAGACAAACCGTTGTTTCCGTCCGTTGTTTTCGTGAGCAAGAACCTTTACACTCATTGCTTTGTACTTGTTTGTTCCATGAACGGATCCGAGAGTGTTTCAATAAGCTTATAGCTTCCAACACAATCGAACTTAAATAAATTGGTATAAACTAACCAAACCTCTGTACGCTAGATAGATACTTTAGATATAGATATGGAGGCAACTTTAATGTTATACGATTATTGTTACATGTCTGATGTTGATATTGATTGATGTCATTTCTTTTCATTTTTCAGATCAAGGCGGTTGGCAGAATGACAAAATTCTTAGGCAATTTGTTGACTTTGCCGACACATGTTTTAAAGAATTTGGATCTGATGTAAGTGAATTGTGAATATAGAACATATTAACAAACACTTAAACGTGAAAAAATATAACATACTATTTGTAATAGACATGGAACCAACAATACCGTATGCATAATTTACAAGAATATAGGCTGATGAAATGAAAAAAAGTGTTATCAGAAAATTGCAATTTTTAAAGAGTGACAAGGCGTCTGTTTTTCTCTATTTTACAATTATGAAAAGAATAACGCTTGCTTGTAAAGAAAGGGTAAAATAGAAGTTTTATAATGATCTAGAGCAAGCAAGATGCCTATTACCTGAAAAAATAGCACTGAATGTGAAATTATTTGTCATAAAAGTACCAAAATGTAAACAAAAGTACATGTAGTATTTGACTTACATACAAAATTCTACAACACTATTATTACTGAACTTATTCCCAGAAAGCAACATATACAAATTACGATTCATGTGTATGAAAATAAAACCATTTCTGGGACACAATGGGCCTTAACAGAGAATAGATAATTCATAGTTTCAATTTGTATAGACTGGAGCGTAATTCACCACAAACTACATGTAATCTGTTTTTCAAAATCAAATTTTATTACATTCTGCCAGGTGTCTATGTGGATAACTGTAAACGATCCATTCCGCATTAGTACTGTTGACATCGGTGATGACAGTAACAATTATGAGCCAGGGGTTACCAACTTCATCACAGCTCACAATCTTTTAATCGCGCATGCTAGGGTGTATCATTTGTACCAACAAAAATATGCCACTCAACAGAAGGGTAAAGTATTTCAAAGAATGAAAAATAAATAAAAAATATTAAAAGGATGTGAAAAAAGCATACTCGTTTAAAATATGTGATCTGAATAGATAACCTATTGATATAGAAAATAGTAATATTTGTATGAATCATTCTATTTGGTGCGAAATAAGTGCAGGGATGTTAAAGATAATTCATTTAAAACAATACACAGTTGTCACATGCCACACTGAAGAGTCTGGTATAAGAATGGTTGGACTATCTGTATCTCTTATATTACAGTTATGAAGTCACGAAGTCCTGGTTAACAAATTATGAAAAATTACATACAAACTGTTTAAATTGCTCTAGGTAAAGTTGGTATTGCTCTAGACGTTGAATGGCGTGAACCGCAAGATGAGTTTTCACCTTCAGACTTGACCGCTTCAGAGACCGCTATGATGTTTAATCTGGGCTGGTTCGCGGATCCTATATTTGGTGGCAATGACTATCCTATGGTTATGAAAGACAAAGTTTGCAACAGAAGTAAAAACCACGATTCAGAATGTAGACTTCCGTCATTGACAGACGAGGAAAAGATTAATTTAAATGGTTCGTCAAATTGATGTGTTTCTCAAATTTGAAAAATAGCATTTATCATTTAGGTAAACAATTCATTCAAGCCTCATAAAAAGTGAAAATATTTAATTTTTACCTCAACAGGATTACACAAGATTTGACTTGATATGTAACAACAAAATATTTTTAGAAAAAGATCGCAAACAGGCGAAGTTTGCCTTATAAATACGAAATGTAAATAAATAAAATATGGCTTTGCTCAGTTTGGAAGTGACCAAGTATATGTTCGAGGAAAAGGAATTATTAAAAAAAATCTACATATAACAAAAACTAAACATATCATCTCTGAGGTAAAACAAACTCTTTGCATAACATGTGTTAAAATATCTAATTTGACTGCCAATCCAATGATAATCATGATAACTTTCTCCGTCATATTCATAATAAATGGAACAGATACAAATTACAGAGTATTGTTTAATAAAGAAAATATATACTTTCAGGATCTGCGGACTTTTTCGGTGTTAATATCAAACCTGCTCAGTTATGTACAAGCCACGTGTACCGGTCAAATGAACTAGAACTGTGGTCTGACAGTGGAGTGTTGTGCAAACCAGATTTGCATTGGAACGAGTATGTAAATAATAACCAAATTAAAATGCACAATATGTACAAACTTAACTGTTTTTAATTTCCATGAAAAATAACGCTATCTACCTAGCTTACGGAACGTTGGTGGTTCTTCTTGGATAGATTTGCTAACAACGTTGATGATGACTTGTATTTTCGGTTGCCGACTATGAACTTGTTAAGTTAAATCAAGTTTACAACATTTTCAATTTTGCCATATCAGCTTTTTTAACGTTCAATTTTATCACTTTTTTATCATTTTATGCAATAAAGGATATAGGAGATATATAAAATTTATCTGGTTAGGTCGTTTTCCTAAAACATTGATCATTGATTTGTATTTTATGTATATTATAAGCGTAAACTTTGTTTCCGCTATCCAGGGAAGGTTCTTTAGTGCGAAAGGACAGTCCATGGGCAATGCGAAAAACTTTGAACTGGATCAAAAGTCACTATGGAGATGTTCCAATTTACGTCACATCAAATGGTGTATCAGACACTACAGGGAAACTAAATGACACGGAAAGAGTTAACTTTCATAAGGAATACATCGATGAAATGTTGAAAGGTATCTCGGGCACGGTTCTTACATTTGACAATGAATGTCTCTAATATTTTTACACGGAAATCTAACATTAACTTAAGGATAGGGTTTATGATTTAAGGAGTGATTTATTGTTTGTGTTTTAATCATATTGATATCCGGGACGTTCGTGGCCGAGTGGTTAAGGTTCGAATTCCGACAGAAACTTTGGATTTTTTCATGTGAGGAATAAAACACGAAAACGTAGGCCAAGATCATTTTTCTGCAACTAGATCATTTTTGGGGCTCAGCTAAGATTTAACTGTAAATGTGTTTTTTCGTAAATTTGCGGTACAAGACTTTCGGAATAAAACTGGTATTGATATGATGATTTTATTAGTAGAGTTATAACATTTCAGCTGCCAAACTTGATGGTGTGAATGTTAAAGGCTATACAGCTTGGTCATTGTTGGATTACGAGGAGAATTTTTACAATATAACACAATACAATGGTTTATACAGCGTTGACTTTATAAATGAAACTAGAACAAGAACACCAAAAGCATCGGCAATGTTATACAGGTTTGTGTTAGCTGCAACGGTTTATTTTTTTATACTTATACATTTTTCATATAAACAACTTAATGTTAAGTCATAAATTGCTATGATTTTTTTTGAATTCTTCGTAATCGGTGCTAGGGGGCGTAGACGTTAACTTGCACTTAACAGTACCGTCCATGATCAGGCTCAATCTAACCGAGTCTACAACATTTTTAATTTTGTTGATTTAAGCGTTCTTTAGGGACTCAGTTGTTCCGTATTTTTATGTCAATTTTCGATGGAAATCTTTGGAAAAGCATATTATTAACATATGCATTTCACTTTACAAGCATATTTATACATATTTCTATGGACCTAAACAATTTTCGTTTGAGAATAATAATTATACATGTTTTTATTTATGACAGAAATATAATCTACAATAATGGATTCAGAGAAGATGATTTAGATGTATTTATACCTGAAGAGCACGAGTTCTTGGAAGAGAATTTTCCTGATGACTTTGTTTGGAGTGCTGCAACTGCAGCCTACCAGGTGGAGGGAGGTTGGAATGAAGGAGGTACTCTAACTGTTAGACTTAACAATGTTTTGAACTTCTCACAATTTTCATAATTAATAACAAAGTTGTGTGTGGATTATGGTTTACTAATACCTCCCTGTGTAATTGCGTACCATCGTGTCTCTTCATATTAGATTAATTTTTAAAATATTTTTATTTTAACACTTGCCAACACAGCGTTACTTTAACGCTTCGAGTTTTGCCAGAAAAAATGTATTTATTTTAATTTATGATGTCTTTCGTTTTTGGCGGAAATATTGCTCGTTCTGTGTTAAATTTCAGGCCGAGGAAAAAGTATCTGGGACACATTCTCTCAAAAGCCGGGGAACGTGGACAATAATGAAACTGGCAACGATGCGTGTATGAGCTATAAGTATTACGAAAAGGATGTTAAAATTCTCCAAGCTCTTGGTGTAAGTTTCCATTTACTCAAGTTATGCATATGGAATACAAATCATGGAGAGGACTACCATGAGCTATTGCAATTCTCGGTCCAATTATTATTAAATATGTATATTATCAACATGTATCATGAATGAAAATATGTTTTTACCAAATCATGAAATAACTCCAAAAGGTCCAACCAATATACATGAAAACGATTTTTTTCAGAAGATACTCATTTCCCATATACATGAGCTTTATTTTGCCTCTACTGCATTTTTGGCAGTTAGTGCAATTGTAGTGATTATTATTAGTGATAATACTAGTTTATTTACCTATTGAATTAAAGTACTGGACTAACAAATACAGTCTTAGATAACTAGATATTGTGACGCACGCTTTCATATTAATTTTGAAACGTTTATATTCAGGCTTCTAGCTATGAACATCTTGACCATTTTATCTTTTATACATGGTAAGATAATTTAACTTTTCAGGTGAGTCATTATCGTTTCTCGATTTCTTGGCCACGTATATTTCCGAATGGTTATGGAGATAAGCCCAACCAGGAGGGTATTGATTACTATAATAGGCTTATAAACGCCCTGATAAAAGCTGGTATTACACCAATGACAACCCTGTATCACTGGGATCTCCCACAAGCACTAGAAGACTACGATGGCTGGAGGAACGAAACAACGGCTGATCATTTTGCAGAATATGCTGATGCCTGCTTTAATGCATTTGGAGATAGGGTATAAATTGTTATTACTACTACTCTTTTGCTACTTCTAACTCATTTAGCATTTGCTTCATTTTCTTGTTGAATGAGAAAAATAGATATTGCCTGTTTTATTTAACGTGAGGATATGATTATGATTTCATTACTTCGAATATTGTAGCTATTTATATTTGATATTGAACTTAAATATTGAATGATCTGTTCAAAAACCAAATCTGGGTTAATCCTTGACACAATTTTAGCAGGTCAATGGTTGTGTTCACAACAATACTAATTTGATCAAATAGAAGCGATTACTCAAGAGTCTTCTCGATTTATAACAAGTAACACAATGTTAATATTTCAAACATATATATGCTAAAATGTTTATGAAATAAGTGATATCTAAGTTTCATATGCAGATATTGTATGCTATTTACCAAGTATATGTTTTTATGAATTTGGTCATTGAACGCTGCCCTTCCTTGTTGATTTTGCTTATAATATTTTATATGTATTTTGCATACCTTTTGCTAAAAAACACGACCATATAACGAAATTTACTAAACATTTTGTTTTCAAGGTAAAATTCTGGATAACACTGAACGAACCATGGGTAGTATCTTTACTTGGACACGAATACGCTGCCATGGCACCAGGTTATATACCGCTTCAATCTTTGTTCAAACGTAGATAAAACACGTATTGATTTATTACAATATATTAAGAAAATTCAATATCATTGAAAATTAAAGGTAAAAGATAAGCTTTTTGTTTATGGCAAATAAGATATTGGTTAATGCTGATATAAAGATATTTCGAATATTGATTTGACATTTTCCCCTTGCATGTTGTGTTGCAGATATTTCCATTAAAATGCATACAATTTTAGTGGACAGAAAATACATTTATGCTTAATTTTCAGGACTGAAAACAAGTGGTACAGCCATATACAAAGTCTCAAGAACACTTATCTTAGCACATGCTAAGGCCTATCGTGTGTATGAAAAGAAATACAGATCTACACAACACGGTAAAATAAACAAAACAGTTCTTGTATTTTCTATTGAAATGTATGCGTGGTTACATGACTGTAGAGTCATAACTGTAACACAAAGAAGATTATCATTCATATTAAATGTTTTTAAGTCATCCATTTACATGATGCCTTACCACACTGGTTGACGACAATTTTTACATACATATGTACTTGTATGTCCTATTCGCATTGAACGGAAAAAAGGAATTGTGCACAGGCATTTGAACACCTATTTAGATATATTTAGATTATTATTGTTTTCGCTCAATTAAGCATGGATGTCATTTTATTTTGTAATTATTTTGTTTTGTTTTCAAAGTACTCTTAAATATATTTTTTGAAACAGGACAAGTTGGTATTACCATGAACTGTGATTGGTGGGTACCAAAGAACCCATTTGACCCGGATGACAAAAACGCTGCTGAGAGAGGTCTTCAGTTCCACCTGGGTTGGTTCGCACATCCTATTTATGTTAATGGCGACTACCCAGAAATCATGAAAGAACAGATTGATAGAAGAAGTAAAGTTGAAGGACTGAACGAATCTAGACTTCCGCCGTTTTCAGAAGAAGAGAAACGTTTAGTTAATGGTTAGTATGGAAAAAAAAATAGCAGTTATGTAAATATTTTCTGACACCCTTTAAAGGCACGCCACATACGTGGGAGACATATGTTTCTTTGATAAATCCTTTCAAGTTCATAATTTTTGATGATTGTGTTGTTATTTTTGTGTTCTAATTCCCCTTTCTTTTTTAATGTTGTTCTGCGTTTATATTAACTTTTGCATATAACTAATTCATCATTTTTTGAAGGTTCGTTTGATTTCTTCGGTCTCAACCATTATACCTCTGTCTGGGTATCACATCACATGTGTAATGACTCCGACACCTCATATAATTGTGATAGAGAACTTGAAGAAGATAAAGATCCTAAATGGCTGGCGTAAGTTACAAATATATATTTATTAACATTACCTGTTTTAACATGATATACTCAGCTCCTCTGAGTTCATGGTACTTAACACTTTGAAGCAAGAAAGAAAACAACACATGAAACTTATGGTACAAAATTTGTCATAAGCTGTAAGATATGGTTATTTTGCTGTATAACACAATGAAACAAGAATGTGTTTAGCCAAATTCAGTTTAAATGAGCCAGACGTAGACCATATGTCGGCTATTTTGAAAACAGTTTGTCATCATTTAAATCGCGGTTATGGTGTTTTAATTTCAGTTTTTTCATGTTTCAGCTAAAATTTTTACATTTTAGTTTGTATAATTTTAAATATTACAAATATCTTTATATTTTTAACTCAAAATTTATTTTTTCAACAAACAAGTACATTTAGAAAATGATGATTGTGTCAGACGTATCCACACATTTAACGGACTATTGATGCTTTTTGCAAAAGTTTGTTAAATGTTGTTCTGTTTTACGTAAAAATCTATAGATTTAAAATATTTTGCACAAAAACTTTGTTGTTTAGGTGTTTGAAAATATATCACTTCTGACCAATTTTAACGCTGGTTACATGAAAATATGCCATTACCGTGAAATAAGTGATGACGCGGAATTAGTGATGTTAAGTATATATATATATCTTATATATTTAGCTGTGATAATATCTAATAAACAAAGTCTTTTCCAGAAACATATGGCGGTAATCTGTATAAACTAGCCTTTTATAATAAATAAATATTTTGTTTCTCGATAACGAATACTTAATTTGAAAATGCTTGGTACTAATGTTTTGCTATTTAACTTTGTTTGTTCTAGTTTTGTTATGGGTTTTTACTTCACATCGACCCAGTATGGGTAATATCGCGACGTTCCAGCTGTTACTGGTGGAGGAAGACCTCAGGCGCCCTTCCGTACATTATTTCAGGCACGAATAGCTTCCTCACATGACAGAATCCAAAGTCCCTGTCGGGATTCGAACCCACAGCGGTGAGGGGCAAGTGATTTGAAGTCAACGACCTAAACCACTCGGCCACGGACGCCCCATTTAACTTTGTAACAGTACAGCTACCTAATTAACGTATTTGATATTTAAGGTCGGGTTCTGATTGGTTGAAAGTGACACCCTGGGGTATACGACGAATGTTGAACTGGATAAAGGATCAGTACGGAGATGTTCCTATTTATATCACTGAAAATGGAATCTCTGACAAGAATGGTTCGCTTAATGACCAACATAGAATATATTTCTATAAAAACTACATTAACAATGTTTTAAAAGGTATGCCGTTTTAAGTTCAATAAAAGTATGGAATTAAAAGAAAAAATCATAGATGGAACAAAACAGTTAATCAGCTATTTAGATGGTATTAAACCATGTAAATCACCAGATATGTATGATCAAATAAATGCGGTATCAAACTGTTTTCTTAACAATTTTATTATAAAAAAATCCTTTGAGCATTACAATGAATCCTCGCTGTCTTTTATGAATTACAGTAATTTCGTTCTCAATAAGTGCGATTATATATTCCAACAATTTTTAAAAAAAAAATAAGGATATTGCTCTCTGCAGATATTCTGTTATTGTACATTGTTTAAATATTATCTTTCTTTTTTCTGTTGTCCATTATATAGCTATCAAATTAGATGGATGTAATGTGAAAGGGTATACAGCATGGTCGTTGATGGATAATTTCGAATGGGCTAGAGGATATTCGGAAAGGTTTGGGCTTCATTTTGTGAACTTTACTGATCCTGACAGGACAAGGACACCAAAAGCCTCAGCACTTTGGTACAGGTATGTAAAAGGAATTTTTAGTTGATGCATTTTTTCCCGAGTTTTCGCTTATCAAACTCACAATTGGTGTATAGCGGTTTGATGGAAAGGATAATTGTTATATACTTCTTACAATAGTTTGGAATTTTCTACATGCATTCATGAATAATTCGAAGAACAAAAATGGTACCTATTTTCGGTGTTAATGTTGTTGGTATTTGGGCTTATTAAAAAAAATACCGAACACAATGTCAAAGAAAATGTTGAAAATATGTATTATAAGAAACTATTTTGGATCAATGCATTAATGAAATGAATTATTTTGTAATGTATTCTACAAGACTTAATTACCAGTCTTATGATTTTAACTATAATGTAAACATCTGTCTCAGAAATTTAGTGGAACGTCATGGATTTGTACCTGATTCAAGACTACAATACCAGAACAAGATGTTGTACGGACAATTCCCTGAAGATTTTGTTTGGGCTGCGGCAACTGCGGCATACCAAATAGAAGGTGGCTGGAATGAAGGAGGTATAGCTTTTTGTTTACATCTCATTCTATAGAGGTTTTGCTTCTTCTTAACTGATACAGTTGGACTTTAAGAGGCCCAAGTTTTCTTGCTGTAAACCATTTATATGATTCCTGAATTTTTTTGAAAATAAAGTTTATCTATTTCTTTTATTTTTCTATTTTATTACATTTATTGTTGATTTGTTTTTGTGTTCTTGTTTTGTTAAATACTTGATATGAAATCATATAATATATATATTCGACACTCATTCATACCATCCTTTTGCAATCGTGATATTTTCATAATCAAATCTACTTTCGAAATCTGCTATAAAACGTGATATGAAAATACGTTAAAGATCATGAAACCTTTTAAATTTATACTAAATCTTCTACAGGTCGAGGCCAAAGCATCTGGGATGTATTCTCCCATAAGCCTGGAAATGTTGTTGGAAATAACAACGGGGACAAAACTGCCGACAGTTATCACAAATACGCGGAGGACATCAATCTTCTTAGAGCATTAAAGGTAAATTTGACATAAATCATCGTTGAAATTTGACATTGGAATATTTTCTTTTTTTCAAATATTGATATAAACAATAGAAATGTGTCATTTGGATATTCTTACATTTGTATGATCAATAATAATATTTTGTTCTACAACATTTTATTATCTGCCATATAAATAATATATATAATATCGGATCGTGTATCTTACAGTTGCCAACAAATTCCATGTATATTTTTTTCATGGTTTGTTGTTTAACCGGGGAGTGGTGGCTTTAGGTATACGCTCCGCCATCTGTTAATCCGTCCGTAGTTCTTGTGTGGTTTGTTGTTTGGTCTGATATTGAATGCTTACAACTAACTATTTATTGTATCACAAACCTTCCATTACAGACCAATTAATAATTATATCAATCTCTGATTAGACAAAATTATGTGTACACCCTGAAGATTGTGGAAACCGTTATAATAATTGCACTTGAAAGGGTCATTTAGTTGATAGAATATCAGATGCATATGAAAATGCAATTGTTTTTAGCTTTTCATGATAACATCGTAATTTGTAATAATTAGTATCTCAATATTTTTATCATCTTAACATGTGTAAATTTCAAACACCTTTATCTTGTGACCAGGTGACACATTATCGTTTCTCTATATCTTGGCCGAGAATATTACCTAATGGCTATGGTCGACCTAATCCTGAGGGCATCGAATACTATAACAAAGTGATTAACATGCTTCTTGCTGCAAATATCGTTCCAATGGTAACGTTGTATCACTGGGACCTTCCTCAAGCTATACAGCAACAGTACGGGGGTTGGGTAAACATGACAACAGCTGATTTGTTCAAAGAGTATGCAGACGTTTGCTTCAAGGAATTCGGTGACCGGGTAAATTATAATAACATTTAATTAATTTGTTCAAAACCAGCATTGTCTTTGGATTGATTGAACTCTTTACTAAATGACTCTTGAATGGGAGAAAGGGTTGATGTGGGTTTTTTTAATTTGAATAATGTTTTTTTATAACTTTGACAGATTATTTATTATCCATATTTGTATGTTTAATATCATTTAACTTTGACTTTTGAGATTGTCAGTGATATTTGGTATTTAAATATTATTTGAAATGGCAGCATGGCCAAGTAGTTAACACGTCAGACTGTTAATCTAATTATCACTAGCTGCATGTGTTTAAAACCCATCAGGGGCAAGTCGTTGTTTCCTTGAACAAGAAACTTTACACTCATAGCACATTACTGGTTGATTCCGGAAACGAATTTGAAAGTTTGTCTATAAGCTTCTAGCTTCCTACAGAATCGAAATAATGTACATTTTGTATAAATCAAATATAAGCTAATTTCAAATATTTCAACGTTCGTAAGATTATGATGATTAGATAATAATATCAGTATACGTGCATATATATTTTATTATGTTTACAGGTTAAAATATGGATTACAATAAATGAGCCATGGGTAATTTCGTTTAAAGGATATGGTAACCGTGAAATGGCCCCAGGTAAATAAATACACCATATCTAAGTGCATTCTTTTAGGTTAATTAATTTAAAGCTTTTTGCAGGAAAAGCTTCAGAGCTTTTGCAATGACAATAAAGGTATTACACCCCAGGTATAGAGCTGAACAAGACTACAAACACGCCCATGCTAACTGAAAAAAGTTCAAAATTTTGGCTTCTAAATTTTATTACCTTGATTCTTAAATCCATAGAATTAGCAATCCATAGTGTATTGTTCATTGCAAGTACATTTCCAGCAATTTAAAGATCAGCAAACAGATAGAAATGATATAAGAAGTAATATGACCAGACCATACTTTTATTGAAATGCTTATAGTTTGATAATAATAATAATACAAATAGATTACAATAATATAATGATCGGTTGTATATGATTTTGAAATTTGGATTCAGACTTTTGATGGTCCGCCGAGCTCATTGCTTACAAAAAAGATTGAGAAGTGGTTAAGACGGTGCTAGGGAGCGTAATTGATGTTCCACATTTGTTTCATTATTTCTCATGAACAGACTTAGTCTAACAGAGTCTACAATTTTCACTGTTTAACTTTGTTTTCGTTGATATCGGGGAATCTCCAATTTTCTCCAGATTTTCAAATATTGACTAATTGACCAAGACTTAAACTTTAAAACAATAAAACAATAATTTATTCAGTCCCTGATTGAGATGAACAGCAAAGTAGATAAACAAGTGACCTATTTTTATAGATATGTTGTCATATTCAATCAGTCATAAGCCATATTTATTAAACATAAAAGAAGTCTGGACACAAATTGCAACATATTTTTTTGTTGTTGTCATGATGTAAGTATTTCTGCAAAGTTTCAACACAATTTGTGCATACTTTAACAAACATGTTTATCAACCAAACTTAACATGGCGGAGTTTGGTAGTTTTCTCTCCGTATTACGACTGTAAGCAATAATCCAGTTTAGCCGCCACATCGTAAACATAACACTTTTTATAAAAACATGTCTTTGTACTATACTATACATATATACATCTCTAATTTTTATGTTTTTTTATTGTTTTTGATATGAAGGTATAGCTAAAACTGGAACACTAGATTATCAAGCAAGTCACACACTAATACTGGCACACGCAAAGGCATACAGACTTTATGAGACGAAATACAAACCTACACAAAACGGTTCGTTAATGTTCAGTTTGTTTCAAGATTGTCATCATTGTTTAGTTTATACTTATTTTAGCTTGATTGTGTTGAAAGCTATTAGCTTATTGAAACACTCTCGAATCCGTTCCTCGAACCAACCTATACTAGGCAATGAGTGTAAAGTTACTTGCTCATGGAAACAATGGCTTTGAACCACTCGGCGACGCCGCCACTCATTATCATCATTAAGCTTTAGTAAAGAAAATAAAGCTTTTTTATTGTCTTCAACTGTTATATAAGAATGACTTAAAACGAGCATAAATTCAGGAAATAGCTATTGTTACTCCAATTATATTAAATTGTAGTTAGATGTTTTACTCAGAAAAAATCATGTCGTTTAATTTCACTAAGACAATTATTTGAAATTTAATTTTGCTGGAACCTTAAGAGTGAATTTTTTTATGACTGTGATTTTCCATTTTCCTTTCCCCATATTTCAATCAGTTATCTACCACCTTTTATGATAAGTTGTTTTTTTAATGTTTATATATATGTTACAGGAACTGTTGGCATAACTCTTAATTGTGACGCAGCAATTCCGAAGAATCCGAATTGCACACTTGACCACGAGGCTGCCGATAGACGGACTCAGTTCCATTTAGGCTGGTTCGCACATCCTGTCTTCGTCGATGGCGATTATCCTACAGTAATGAGACAGTATGTTGATAGGAAGAGTGACCAGGGTCATTCACGTTTGCCGAGATTTACTGAAGATGAAAAAGCAATGATCAAAGGTATGTTTGTTTATTATCTTTCCAGATTTTGAGGTGACAATTAAACATACTAAGGAAAATAAATTAAAAGTACATAAATATGTTTTTACCTCGTTAATATATGAAATTTTTATGAGAATTTCTACTTAGAAATAATCGAAACGAAAACTGATCTGAAAGAGTATTGTTAGCATGTACCTTAGTCTTTCAGTCTTTTGTTTCGTCTACTTCATGATATGGTTACAACTTTATTTGAATTTATTGCGTGAATATCAAATGAATAACATAACCACCTAATTTTCAATTGAATTTGGTAGCATTTTGTTTCAAATTTTTCAAAAGATTTGACGAAATGTTATATTTTTAAGGTTCGGTATAGTATAAAGATCAAATATGCATAAAACATGACTAGGGAATAATAAATAGAAGACTTACAAATAAAATGCTTGATAAAAAAATGATCAAGTTGGTAGATTTAATAATAAAACACTTACTTTTATTATTGTCGCTTGAAGATGATAATTACCAAACGACTTTGTTTAATGTATTAAGGATCGTCTGATTTCTTTGGGTTAAACCAGTATACTGCTGTACGAGTTGCGGACGCCGAGGAAGCAGACGAACGGACCTATTATTCAGACATGAGTGTGAAACAAGACGTAGATCCAAGTTGGCCATCGTAGGTTCTTTTGTCTTGAAAACACAATGTATTTCTAAACAATTATATCAAAATGCATATTTATTTATTTATCTATACGAAGCATACTGTATACTGTTCGAATAATCTTTTAGTAATTATGTCAGTTTGCCTTCTGAATAGCCTATGGTGAAACGTTTGTTAAAGTATACGGTTGTGTTTATTGGGTCGAAATATATCATTTTGTTATTGGTTTATTAGGGTTAAAGCTAACGTGAAGATAGATATTATCATCTTACATAAATTGAAAGACGAAGTTAGATAGCTCTCTCAAGTTTCTGTTTTTAAGCTTAATATGTTTTAAATATATTGCATCCAAGCCATTGTTTTATATTTTTATAAAGATCATTTAAACTTTCTACCACATTCTAGTTCTGGTTCGGAATGGCTTTACGTGACTCCATTTTCAATTCGCACAATGTTGAATTGGATCAAGAAGGAATACGATGATGTTCCAATTTATATAACAGAAAATGGACTCTCGGATAATAACGGGACTATAGAGGACTATCATAGAGTCAACTATCTTAATAATTACATCAATGAAGTTTTAAAAGGTAGGTATACATTTATTTTGATAACATAACAATTTAACCAGTTAAAAGTTAACATATTAGATTACTAACTTTATATACTACATGTACATAGCTAAGTTTTTTACTATGTCATTACATGTACGAAATTTCTTATTTGGAATGCGTATATTGTTATATTGGAATATTTTTATTATACCATTTCATTGTGTTTTGATTGATATAAAAGTTTGATTTGTTTAACGTTTTGATTTATATAACATTTTGATAACTATATGAAATGTTGGCTCTTTTTCTGCAGCAATTCAGCTTGACAAAGTAAATGTCAAAGGTTACACGATGTGGTCTTTACTCGATAACTTCGAGTGGTCGAGAGGTTATTCAGAAATATTCGGTATACATTACGTCAATTTCTCGGACCCTCAACGGCCAAGAACGCCTAAGCTTTCCGCAAGTGCATTTCGGGAAATAATACTACGGAATGGATTCCCGCAACATCCAGTAAACCAGACCTGGCTATACCAAGGCGACTTCCTTTTTGGCACTTTTCCAGAAAACTTTGCTTGGAGCGTTGCCACTGCAGCGTATCAGGTTGAAGGAGGTTGGAACAAAGATGGTAAGTAGACAAACGTAAATGTTATTTCTGATGTGCTCGGCTTTTTGATTGGTTGGAAATAAAAAAGAGCTTATTGCTTATGCGACTTAGCCTGTGTTGGGCGTGAACGGAAGCTTGAAATTAACACAACCGTTCATGAACAGACCCAATCAAATCGAGTCTGAAGCATTTTCAATTTTGACGTTTTGGGGCGTTCTTCACTATTTTCACAAAAAAACAATAATTTAGATCTATTGTGAACTTTGTTTATATAGATATATAATAATTACAAATGTATTTTCATAATAATCGTAACGCTTGTTTTGGGGGTCTATTTAAGGAAAGGGAGTCAGCATTTGGGATACATTTTCACACACCGACAGGATTAAAAATGGCGACACTGGAGACATCGCTTGCGACACATACCACAAATATTTGTCTGATATAACACTGCTGAAGAATCTAAAGGTTGGTTTGATATTTTCAAAGTATTACATAAAACCTCACTTTTAATGTGTTTTCATTAGATGGCAGAAAAGGGTGTTTTATAAAAAAAATCCTAACATATAAAAATGATAAAATTAATGATAAATGTATATATAATTTGTTTTTAAAGGAATTCATTATTGTTTGCAGATCTCACACTACCGGTTTTCAGTGTCGTGGACAAGAATTCTTCCCGATGGTACAAACAAAACAATCAACAAAGCCGGTAATGCTATATTTTCTATACATCTATCTATCCTTATTTTCTTACCTGTTGACGGCAAAAAAACGCACGTCTTTTGATAAAAATATCTTTCCATAATGCAGGTTCAACTGGGGTACTTAATACAGCTGTAAAAGAACTAAACTAAAAATGTATCTAGTCGGTCAAGATATTGATATATATAGTTGGTCACTATGACACCCCCTACAATAGTTATATTCATTAAATACCGATTAGGCTTAACAATATATGTTACATGTTCTTGGGAATAATTGTATGTGATTATAGCTTTTATTTTTAAAGCAAACACAGCTACATCTTCGAGCAGGCTTTAAAATTACTTAGGATTCTTTTTTATTATTATTATTTCATTGGTCCGTCCTCCAGTGTTATTGATTTTAATTTGGTTCAGTATTGAAAACTAGATACTAATTTATTTTGTGCAAGCGGCTAAAGGGATGTTGGCTTTTGAACAGACTCAGTTATTCACATACAATTTTTTTGTTATTTGCTTAGACCGGTGCTAGGGGGCGTGGCCGGTAGCGTGACCTTGCCACTACCGCTGTGGGCGTTCTTTAGGGATTCACTTTTTTCCAGCTTTTTTTTCATCAGTTTTCGGAACATTTCAATATGACAATTAATAAAATTAATTGGTATATATTAGTTCTTTTTTAATATTTATCGTAGCATATTTATTTTCCTACATGTGCTACATGTGTTATTTTGCTTTTTCAGGTATTGCTTATTACAATGATTTAATTGATGCTATTCTTGACGCTGGTATTGTTCCCATGGTAACCATATACCACTGGGATTTGCCTCAAGTTCTCGAAGATGATGGTGGTTGGACGAATGACAATATTGTTGACATATTCGTTGACTATGCTAAAGTGCTGTTTGATAACTTTGGAGATAGGGTAATATTTAGTTTTCTGCAGTTCTGAACTTATAATAGGTTTTGATACTTTAGAAAACATCTAGAAAAAATTAATTGTAAACAAGTTAATGATTGTACTTCTTCATCGATCATTCTGGTGATCAGGATATCAAAGTTTTACTACATACAAATCAGAAAAAAAGGTTTAAGATATTAATATCATGAAAATGCATCTTAAATCCTTTAGGAAAATTCAAAGTTAATATAATTTAATTATTTGTTTAATAAGTTATACAATTAGATTATTATACTATCAGTCTGGCAACTTTTTTTTCAAAATTAACAAATATTGAATTGCATTATTCCCGCTTCTTGAATTCTATGAATGCGTTTTGATCCCCTTTCAAAATTCCATTTTATTTAGTTTCGCCCATTGTTTTCTCGTTTAGGGCACACGCTTTTTATTACTTGGGGACCATACGCCGCTTTTCATGGAATGGCACGTAAGTGTCACATTGAAGGTTTCATGATAACCGCCGTATGAACACATCTGCGGATGTTTCTAAATTCAAAATTTTACTATAACATGTGTAAATGTTGAATTCTGCTTAAGCCGGTGCTAGGGGGCGTGGACGGTAACTTGCACTATCCAGTACCGTCCATGAACAGGCTCAATCAAACCGAGCCTGCAACATTTTCAATTTTGCCGTGTTGGGCTTTCTTTAGGGATTCTTTTTATTAGTCCCCTACCGGTTTAACCGGAGGGGACTTTAGGTTTACCCTCCGTCCGTCTGTCCGTCTGTCTGTCTGTCCGTCTGTCTGTCTGTCTGTCTGTCTGTCAGTCCGTCAGTCCGTCCGTCCGTGGTATTTTCACTCCAACTTCTTCATTCCTTATAGGATTTACTTTAAAATCCCACATCGTAATAATATGACAAGGTTGTATAAACATAATTTCCTTACTAAGCATGGAAACTTAACACATTACTGTGATATAGACAAACTTATTTTATTATGTTTTGTGGTCGATATTTTCAAATACAGACTTCATCCTCAAATTCATTATAAATGGCAATACACAGGAGTGTATGACAATTAAAGAACTTTTTGAGGGACCGGTAGGGGACTACTGTATTGCCCGCAATACTATCAAATGCTTGTTTTATCTATTTTATGTATATAAAATAATAAAATTAGAGCCTAAAATAGTTTTCCATACTGTTTGAAAACAAAGCAATATTAAAATATTAAACACGATTAAGTGCTTGCTTATTCAGGTCAAATTCTGGATAACACATAATGAACCTTGGGTGGCAGCTCACCATGGATACGAGACTGGAGCGCATGCGCCCGGTAGGAAAGGTCAAGGTTACAAAGCGGGTCATAACTTACTGCGGTCACACGCTAAAGTATATCGACTCTATGAAAAAGAGTACAAGCCATCACAGAAAGGTAAACTGTTTAAATGCAAGACAGGAAACGTTTCGGATCTTAAAATACTTTGTTCAGTTAACTTGGAAGGACATCATGTTGACACGGATGATGTAGGTATGCAATGCAACAAATTATAAGTGTTGTATGAACGAATGCCAAACCTTACAAATATGATTATTGGTCGCTTAGACTTTCGAAGAAACTTTTTTTTCTAATTCTGCAAAGTAATGCTAAAGTTCTAGATAGGTCTTCTGTAATTAACATGAATTTATAAGATACATTAAAAAATGTGTCGTGTAAAATCTGTCGTATAATTAAAATGTAAGCCAATGTTACAGGCCAGGTTGGAATCACATTAAGTCACATGTGGGGTGAACCACGTGACAACCAGAGTCTAGCTGACATAGAAGCCGCTGAGAGGTTTAACCAGTTTAGTCTAGGTTGGTTTGCTAATCCCATATATGGAAATGGTGATTACCCGGATGTTATGAAATGGCAAATTGGTAACAAGAGTTTAGAAGAAGGATTGACGCAGTCTAGATTACCTGAATTTACAGCTTCTGAAAAGGAGACCATTAAAGGTAAGTAGATAGTCCATTAGTAAAAAAAATATTGTTTTAGCATCATGTTTTGATATAAAACAGGATAAAAAGATAGTCATGAATTACGATATGGTATTCAAATGAAGAGGAGGCGTTTTTAGCTCGAATAAGTAGAGCTATTGTAGTAACCCGAGCGTCGGCGTCGGTGTCGGTGTCGGCGTAACCACTTATGTTAAAGTTTTTGTAATTCTTCAAATATTTTCAAAGTCCATTGACATATGGCTTTGAAACTTTGCACAATTGTTCACAAATATGACCCCAGCCTGTAGACAGGAGGAGATAACTGTATCAAGCATTTTGACAGAATTATGCCCTTTTTCGACTTAGAATTTACGTTAAAGTTTTGTAATACCTCAAATATTTTTAAAATCCATTGACATATGGCTTTAAAACTTTGCACAATTGTTCACCATCATGACCCCAACCTGTAGACAGGAGGAGATAACTGTATCAAGCATTTTGACAGAATTATGCCCTTTTTCGACTTAGAATTTACGTTAAAGTTTTGTAATACCTCAAATATTTTTAAAATCCATTGACATATGGCTTTAAAACTTTGCACAATTGTTCACCATCATGACCCCAACCTGTAGACAGGAGGAGTTAACTGTATCATGCATTTTGACAGAATTATGCCCCCTTTCGACATAGAATTTACGTTAAAGTTTTTGTAATACCTCAAATATTTTCAAAGTCCATTGACATATGGCTTTGAAACTTTGCACACTTGTTCACCATCATGACCCCAACATGTAGACAAAAGGAGGTAACTGTATCAAGCATTAGGCAAAATAATGCCCCTTTTGCGACTTAGAATTTACATTACCACCTCAGATATTTTCATATACTATTGACATCCGGCTTTGAAACAAGTTGAAATTTTATACTCTTCTTTGAGAGCATTATAGGACTCTCTTCAAGGCCTATAACTGTAACATGGATTTAAAGAAAAAAATTGCCCTTTTGTTAACTTAGAAAATTTTACATTATCAAGGCTTTTTTTACTATCAAGCACTAAGAATAGTCGAGCGTTGCTGTCCTACCGACAGCTCTTGTTGACCTACAAGTAAAGTTGTCTGCCGTTCAACTCGGCTGGATCGTGGAGTCCAGCCCCTATTTTATTATATGGCACCATTACTAGTTGAATCCAGGAAGCGGACTATGGAGGGAATAAGTTATAAGTTAAAATCTTTCAAACATCTACACAATCGACAAATATTGTTTTAACAAATTACGTTTTGATCCAAATCTCTGGTACTGATTACATTTGAAGACAGTAGGTCTTGTTGCATTAAGTAATGTTAGAGTATGGTCTCGGAGGTGACAAATTTCCTTTTAATACTATAATAGAAAATGACAGATTTTATTTAATTATTATATTCATTAGTTATTTTAAGCATGCTGTCATTTTCATATTCTATTTCAGGCAGTGCCGATTTTCTAGGATATAACCTGTATACTTCCGCCTTGATAAAGGCAAATGTGAACCCCTTACACCCAGCTAGCTATGAAAGCGACCTTGACCTCATAGAAAGTGAAGACCCTTCATGGCTGAAGTAAGTGTGTATCAAGTCTTTACATTAAAACCCCTGTAATTCAAATGATATAAGGAAGGGGTTACAATTGTTTTGCATCAATGCCTGGTTATATAGGATAATGTTTGCCTTAAAGGGAATTCGATTCGAGTTGCATAATCTTATCAGTCTGTCTGGCTCGTCCAAAACACATGATCATTTACTTTGGCGGAAACACCCTATGCATAATAGTCTTATTGGCCTCCGGAGTATCAAAATAGTATACATCGCATAAAACGACTTGCATACATAATTTGTATCATTCAGTGAATTACTGAATTCAAAATTTATAGTTCACCTTTTGGGATATAATTTTTTTGAAGGACATGCATGGTTGGGGTCCGTACTCTCAGTGCCTGAAAGGGCGGGTGGACCCTCATTAAGCAAAGAATACATTTTGTCTACAATGGACATATTTTTCAGAAGTATTTCAAATATTGATAAAAACCTATAGAAATGTATCATTTGGATATTCTTATAAGAAATTGCTGGAAAGGAAAAATGTTCATACAGTTCTAAGTGATTTAGTATGAACATTTTTATGATAAATATTTTTTTTTGTTCTAGAACAATTTATTATCTGCTATATAAATAAATGTAATTGCGGATCATGCATCTCAAGCCTATGTGTGATACTAAATACAAGCAACGTAATTATTAAATTATTTATTTTTAAAGACCTTCTATTATTGGCTAAATTTACTTTATCTGTTAATTATGTTCAATAATACAATAGAAACATTAAGGCATGTTCATAAAATATTTTTTGTTTTTTTTTTAGTTATAAAGAAAATGCTTTAAAAAAGAACGCACGTCGAATAATTAAAACATTTTTAACATGTATATTTTGTATTACATGTATATGTATTGGAATTTTCATGCCGAAATCAATGGTTTTGTTTAATAATTTTAAATCGTATATTATATCTTAATTAACATTCTTTACCTTTAAAGCTACATTTTGTCTCTTCTAAGGTCAGGTTCAGAATGGCTTCGCGTGACACCTTGGGGATTACGTCGAGGTTTAAACTGGATCAAGTCAAATTATAATAATTTCCCAGTCTACATTACTGAAAACGGTGTCTCTGACAACACTGGTACAACTTCCGACCAGCATAGAATCGATTATTATAGACAATATATCAACGAAGTTCTTAAAGGTATATGAAAACATGTGTGTCAAAAAACGCACTATATAATTATCTTTGATAGTAACAATGAAAACACAATTGAAAAGAGAAACGCTAGTTACAGGTAATTTACCGTCTCCGACAATGGTCACTTTCATAGAATTCGATTTGAGCAGTGCCTCTAAATTTGAAAGAGGCTTGTGTGAGCACAACAATCTGTAAAATTATACTGAAAGCGGCACGATCAGTCTGTTAATTCTTTATGCTTTTTATAATGGCATTCAATATGACCGGACAAAGGATCGCACCCTCGACCTCCTTATCAAGAAGCGAATATATTATAGACACACCTTTTGCCGATTTCAAATTTAATATATATTGTATTTATTTAAAGACAAAAAAATTTATATGAAAAACAAGATTTTGACGGCATTTGTGTTAACAATATAATTATCATATTGTTATTTCAGCTATACAACTGGACGGATGTGACGTCAGGGGTTACACAGCATGGTCATTCCTTGACAATTTTGAATGGATGGAAGGATATTCGGAACATTTTGGTCTGCATGCTGTTAACTTCTCGGACCCAGAAAGGAAGAGAACGCCGAAGTTATCCGCTTCATATTTCACCTCAATTGTTGAAAACAATGGCTTTTTTAAACCTGGACAAGGGGGCGGAGTTTCCACAACAGTGTCAAGTGTCACCAAAGTACCACAAGTTATCGAATTTGAGGAAAAGGATAAAAATAAAGACGTTTCTTCCAAGTCAACTATTAATAAATTAAATGTTGAATACGTGACTTTAATATGTGTTATGACTCTTGAAATGTGTGTAACACAACTGTATTGGCTTATTTAGTCAATGATTATTGACTTTAAATACCCATGTAGTTTGCCTTTAAGGAATGTTCAGTCTGTCACAATTATTTCATATGATGAGATGCTATGTCAGTTTTCCATTATTCTGTATGATATACTGTAAAGATATTTTATTTGGGTTCTTTCCCCTGATTAATATGAGATGCAAGTAATGTTTATATGGTGGGTAGAACTTATATTGTCTTCTTTTTCAATATCCTTTATGGTGAGTTATAATTACAATTTCTGTTTCCATTGTCTACATGATATATAAGAATTATTCTGCTTGTTTACTCTGTTCCATATGATATACAAGAAACGTTTTTTTCTTCTTTTCTTTAATATAATGCCTCATTTTCCTTTCTTTTATATGATATACAAATGTATATGAACTATATCTACTTCCATTCTTTTTCTTGACCAGTTAGAAATATAACGACTATTTCCCTTCCGCCACTTGTCGCTTAAAGAACATTACTGTATAGATATTGCCATTTGACATTTGCATACAATTTTTTCCTTTTGCATAATAATCGCGCGATTATGTGTGATCACACTCGTGCTTATATATCAAACTGTATTTTGAGTCAGATCGGTTTATAACTCGTTCACATAGCAAACCGTCCAATTTAGTTATAACATTAACACTACTACGACATTTATAATATTTGTTGAATAGATTATTATCATGACATTATCGTTAGTATACATATATACTTGTGAAAAATGTTATCATAACTAATCATAATTATTTTGTATTTATTGCAATTCACATGACATAGAAGACGAATATCATTTTAACATCACACTAATAATTAAACTTACAATTCTACTATAAATGTAACAGAAGTCTATATGGTCGACTCATCGCGCGTGTAAAGTAAAACGATAATTGGTGGTATCGATTAATCGCAATTGAAAAAGGCACGATAATCAGCAGTATCAATTTATCGCGATTTCAGAAGAAGCGAACAAAGATAGTATTGACAAATCTCGTTGGCAAGAGACACACTAATCGAAAGTAACGTATGACGAAAGAGTGCAATTATAAAGGTCTCTACAATTGATAGTAAAATGAAACTATCGAAAAAATCGTTTAGATTTGTCGCAGGTATCCGGTATTTGGCAAATTTGCGAGGAAAAAAAAAGAAGCGATAAAACATATATTGCCGTATTTTACCTTTATCGATTATTATTATTATTATTATTGCAACCGAATACGTCATTTGTCAAATACCTAGTGTTGTGTTCTAAACAGGGGGATGTTGTTTAATTTTAATATTGATAAATCCGTCTATATTGTATGTGTTGACTCTTTGTACAAGAAATTTACTTTAATCAAAATGCTTTGAAATGCTTTAGATGTTTGCCGACAATACATATAAGCAGTTATTTTTTTTTTTATCTTTTTAAGAATACATGTACATTTGTATATATTAAAATCTAAACATTTGTTGCTTTCATTTTGTTTATTTATTTGACTTGAATTTTGTAAACGCTTAGCTATAGCCCACTGTTGGTAACATATTCTACCTGTGCGTCCAAAACAGACAATGGTCCGGTGCCAACAGACCATGGTCTGCACTGCTCACTGTTATTTAAGTGACTTTATACCCATTTATGTGTATATAGTGAGTGAACAGGTAAAAAGGAAAAGAAGTTGACATTTTATCATAATTCCTGTCAATTTAAGAAATTTACTTCCGTGAATAATAAATAGGTCACATGACCTATCGAAATTTCTGTAAAGATCCACCGGAATTTCCCTGTAACATTTAAAGGTAAAGTTTTAAATTTTTATTTCGGGGTAAGGATGAATCAGAATTTATATATAGCAATGAACTATAAAAGCCGTGTCTTTGAATAAAGTGTACCCATATGCCCTTTATATACAATACACTTACTGTATGATCTTTGTATTGCTAGATTGTCGTGTTAACCAACAAAAATAAATTAAGTTTCTATTTAGCCTATTATTCCTAGAACCTTAAAAGGAGTTATTATTTAGAAATTTACACAATAGGGAAGAAGGTAAAATCAGTCTTTCAATTACCCCATATGACGAACAGAAAACTTCCTTGATAAAATTACATTCACATTTAAATTATAGCAAAATGATATATTGTACTATGGTGCAAGAGTCATTGATAATTTTCAAATAGTGTAAAGTTTGTTGGCTCAAATTTCACACCAATTTGTCGTCTGCTGCAGCGTCAGGTGCGTATAACACTGGTGAATTATAGATGTGACTCATAATTAGTTTACAATACAGGTGTGTACAGGTGCGTATCTGTAACGCGGGATTGTGATTTATACATACTGAATTTCTGTTATCAAATAAAGAAAAGAGCTTACTTTTTCAATTAATTCGCGTTTAAATTTTTAGAACAAGTCGTTAAAATGTTTAGAACAATTCATTCAAATTTTAAGAACGATTTGAACAATTCGTTAAATGTTGAGAACAATTCGTCCAAATTTTTAGAACAGTTCGATTAATTTTTTTTTAGAACAATTGTATCAAATTATTAGAACAATTCATTCAAATGTTTAGAACAATTCATTCAAATTATTATAACAATTCGTTCAGTTTTTTAGAACAGTTTATTCAAATGTTAAGACCAATTCAATCAAATTTTCAGGATAACTCGTTTTTTATATTTTAGGGTTTTCAATAAACTGGTTAGACTGTTCAGATATACAGATTGGCCTTGTTCTAAACCGTTGCTAACGGCTTATCACTTTCGGGTTAAACGTTTACCAAACCAGTTTAAAATCTTAAAACGGTCTTGTTGCTCATTAATACAAAATAAAGGAAATATTTTATACATAGTGATAACTTTTAAATTATTGTAAAACTATTTTTCTTCAGATCATTTCTTATTCAACCTTATCATACATTTTGATAATGTAGCTACATCTATATCTGTCATAAATATGTTCAGTATATCATTATTACTTTGTTTAAAATGTGACTCTGATGTAAAGGTATAACCATCTTTGAACTGACAGAATTATAACGATATATAATTAAACGATAGACTAATTAACGCAAATTTTACACTCGTCTTTTTTTGTCAGTTTATTTCTTAGACCATCTTTTGTTTTCATATAATATCATAAAGGAGTTCAACATCAGAATTCACATACAGTTAAACTAGAACTGTCTTTAGCAGATTGGTTATGCATGCATGATACGCACTTGTAACAGTGTCGTGAGAAAAATAACATGTATAGAATTTCTGGTAATAATTGTTTATGTCAAAGGTCAGTGTTCATGTACTATCTAAACTACACTTGTACTTTGTCATTTTACTGCGAAATAACAAATGATTTGTTGACTCGCCCATGAATAAATGTAAAACAAAGACATATTAGATATATTTTACCACTTCACGTTGACATTATATTAAGTAATCTGAAAAAAATATTAGCACATGATATAACGAATAACGAGTATTTTTGGATTTTAGAAATGGATGTCCAAATTCACGTTGTTTTAATATTTGGATACATAATAGGTATGTAACATGTTTGATATTTAATGAATTATATTTGTTGAGATTGATAAACTATGTAAATGTATCATTTTGTAATTCGAACATCCATTAAACACAGCTATTATACATGTACAGTGCATTACTAGAATTATTATTATTACTGTTATCATTATTATTATCATGAAAATTGTCATCATTATCATTTATATTGTCATTGTTATCATCATCATTATTATTGTCATCATTATTATCCTTATAATTATTTATTATTCATTATCATTACTATTATCATTACTATTTATCATTATTTTTTATTATTATTTTTAATAATCATTACTTTCATCATCATCATCATCATCATCATCACCACCATCATCATTATTATTATTGTTGTTATTTTCATCATTATCAATATTGTCATTATTATTATCATCATTATTACTATTGTCATCATTATTTTTATAATAATTATCATTATTATAATTCACTATTTATCATTATTTTTATCATCATTACTTTTATCATTATAATTATCATTACTATAATTATCATTAATATTTACATCATCATTATTATCATTATTATTAATTTATCATTACTATTATTATCATTACTTTTATTATTATTATTTTTCTTATTGCTATTATCATTTATATTATCATTATTTCATCATCATTATTATTATCGTTATTATTATCACTATTATTATCATTATTTTTATTATTATCACTATTATCACTATTATTATTATCATTTCTATTCAGTGACTGATACGACTGATACGTTTATGGAATTTTATGAATGATATATAGCAACACCTTAACCATTAGGCTAACAAAAAATTATCTTTTCATTTGGAGGCAAGTCGCTTTAACCTCAATAACCTTTAAGTTGTCACCGATAACCAATAACACTAATGACGACTTAAGCAGTGCCAATAAAGAAGAAAATTGAATGTTACAAAGTATATCTTAGGTGTTCAGCTATAGGTCTGGGGTGAAAGACGAGACGGTATCTACTCTTGGGCACTGTTTTTGTTGGTTTGTTTTGCATGTCAAGCTAAACCTTATTATATATTTAACGACATTAACAGCAATAATATCCCGAAATAACCATCAACAACTGGTTATAAATGTCACCTGTATTCAATTATTGACAGATAATATGATAATCAATAAAGTTGCCAAGCTTCAATATTTGTGATGTAGTATAAAGTACAATAAATAATACAAATGTTGTAGAAAATATAATTATATATATATATATATATTATATATATATATATATATAATATATATATTATATATATATATATATATATATATATATATATATATGGCGACCAGTCGCCTTTCAGGGTATCGAGCTGATGGCGCGCAATCTGGCCGATTGACAAAGACATACACTGAGAGCTTAATACAGTTTATTTCCGTAATTTCGATTGTATTGTTCGCAATGCTCACGTGAAAAACTGAAAAGACAAAACACAATCGAATTCTGAGACTTAAAAATATCAAAAAACATTTGGTTCGAAATGCAACAATACAATACTCCATAGAAAAATATAGTCAAAATATTATAAAATAGACAACAATTCTGCATAACAAACCTCTTTGCCACTATTTAGAACTTAAAAACTCTTTT